TCCGGCCCAACAGAAGACATGCCCGTGACCGCCGAGAGCACCCCAAAGAGAGCACCCCAACCGAGCACATGCCTTTGCCAAGACCCAAACTTGAGCACCAGAGGATTCCAAAAGGCCCCCCTCCCCGCCCGAAACAGAACAAAGCGAAAACAAGAGAGGCAGTCCTCTCTGCAAACTCACAAGACCATTTCAGGTCAGCGCGCACCGAGGCCAGAGCGCCTTTACTTGCGCCATTACCTCCCCTGCGACATGCAAAAAAACGACCCCCCCCTTTTCTCTTCATGGGAAGCCCATAGTGTCGGCATGTTCGGGGAAGCACATCCCCGGACCCTCTCCGAAACTAGCACAGCGATCTGAAGCCCAAAAGCATTCTGAAGCATTTTGAAGCCATGGAACCATCCAATGCGTAATCTGAGCCTCTAAAGCTTTCGATTCTTTCATCAAGACATGGTAAGAGATGCAACCCCGAAACATTCAAAGCCATGAGCTCTAACTTCGAATCACCTCACCACTCGAACTCAGCCAAGCGACAGTCCCAATCTCCTTCCCTACGTGCCTGGCCGTGCTGTTTCCGTGCAAAGCTTTGTTCGCGGGTGGCTCCCAACTAACTGTTCGTTCGGACATGCTCGGATACTTGGATTGAGTGTGATTGGTTGCAGGATGACCATAGGAGCATGCCATAGGAAACGTTCTGCGTTTGTTTGAATACAGTCTGCGCCCCTGTGCTTTGCCCCCGAAGTGCCACATCTCAAGAGCCCTTTCTCAACTCAGAGAGAGAGAGAGAGAGAGAGAGAGAGAGAGAGAGAGCGAGTGGAGAGGAGAGAGGAGAGAGCTGAGAGAGGGGAGGGAGAGAGAGAGAGAGAGAGAGAGAAGCAATGCTGAACACCTCCTGCCGAAGTGAGCTTTTCGGGCTTTGGATCTGTGAGATCTGGCTGGCGGCCGAGGAACGTTGCTCGGAGGGGGTACCTGCGAGAGAATGGCGAACGAGCTTTGGAGCCTTTGGGGCATCGGAGTTTGGGGGGAAGTAAACACACAATCCAGAAACGGACAAGGAAGACAAGGAAATCCCAGACCAGAAACAATGGAAACCCAGAGAGCCTGCAACGGCCTGCAACGGCCTGCAACAGCCCTTCTTCGAAAACGAAGGAACTCTGGGCCCCTTTCCGAGGGCGACCGCAAACACGGACTGACGACCACACGCTGCAGGGTGCTCAGAGCCCTCCTTAGGGGGCCTTCTCCTGTCTTCTTGCCTTGCTTGTTGGGGGGGAGGGGGGGGTTCGTTCTTGGGGAATCAATTGTGAGGATTCTCAAAACGGATGGATCTAGGAACCCTGGGGACGCTGTCAGAAAAGCACCCGGGCCAAAACACAGTTCAAATCTCTTTCAACCCCTGAAGACCTGAAGAAGTACGAGAAGGTAATATCTAATGGAAAGTACTAAACAAACACAATCACAGCCTTGTCTTGGACAACTTGAACATTGAAAACTCCCGCATCACGAGCCATGGTACATACCGCGGAGGTGGCGAGTGGCTGCTGCGTATGTAGCGCTCCACCTCTTGCGTCCAGAAACATCTCTCAACATCTCTCAAGCCGCGAGCCTGACTCACAATCTCCTTACGGTCCTTGCCCCGCCTCAATCGCGCGATCCTTCCCCTGGCATTCTTTTCAAGCTCGGGGTCTTAGGTCTGTAAGTGCAGGGCATGGGGCTGGGGGTTGTTTCAGAAAACTTCGGCTTAGGAATTCGGGCTTTGGGTTCAAGAATATTTGTACATGGTTGGTTATATTCTGAACGCTGATATTCACAAACCACTGATGATGCACAGCTCAACACGAAGGTACGCAGGTGGGGGCATCCCCATCTGTATCGCTACAATTCCAACGTTGTCGTTTACCAGGCCCGAATGGATGCCCCGAAACCCTGCATCGAAAGAAGAGATCGCGGGTCACTCAAAAGCTTTCCCTCAACAGTGGCAACAGCCTTGCCCACAGGACTGACGTGAACTCAAGACAAGCTTGGAAGCCACATGGTGCATCAACAAATATACCGCCACACGACTGTACTGTGCAACCATCAGGATTCCGAGTGTGTCTTGCACCAAATTCTGCAGGTCTTTTTGATGCCGCATTCTGGAGAAAGCTGGCGAGCAATGCATGGGAAGCTATCCGAATCCAGACGCGCTCAGCGCCTAAGATGTGGTGCCATCCCGTTGCAATTCAAGGCATGAACCGACATGGGGCGAACCGCAAAGTGTCATGCGCAAGCTGTCCACCCACCCACCCACCCACCCACCCACCCCACCCACCCCACCCCACCCCACCCCAACCCCCCACCCCACCCCACCCACCCCCCCACCCACCCACCCACACAGCTCACCCCGCACCGCCCTGACTTTCACACTCACTCTCACTCTCATGTCTCCTCTCTTCTTCTTCTTATTCTTCTTCTTCTTCTTCTTCTTCTTCTTCTTCTTCTTCTTCTTCTTCTTCTTCTTCTTCTTCTTCTTCTTCTTCTTCTTCTTCTTCTTCTTCTTCTTCTTCTTCTTCTTCTTCTTCTTCTTCTTCTTCTTCTTCTTCTTCTTCTTCTTCTTCTTCTTCTTCTTCTTCTTCTTCTTCTTCTTCTTCTTCTTCTTCTTCTTCTTCTTCTTCTTCTTCTTCTTCTTCTGCTGCGCGCTTGGGACTCCCTCTCTCTCTCTCTCTTGTTTGCTTATGCTGCTTTCTTTTCTTCATTCCTGCCGCGCAGGCCAAGCGATTCTGTCCGGATTGTCCCGGTTTGGCCCGCTCTCTCTCTTTCTCTCTCTCTCTCTCTCGCTCTCTCCCCCTCCCCCTCTGCGAAGCAGTCCAGATCCTTCTGCCGCAATGCCCTCAGCCTAAGTACAACCCCCGCGATCCCCACCCACAGAAGCACTCCAGAGATCCCTCAACGTGCCGCTAGATGCCGCTAGCCTTTCGTTCATCGTATTCCATGACGAACTTCACCTGGCACGCGACTTCGAGACTGGAGCGCCTTGAGCACGTTTTGATGCGATCACTACAAGGCGTAGAAGGCGGGGGTGAAGGTAACAGCCGCAGTTTCCTGTTGGAGGGGAGGGGAGCACCTGAACACCCCCTCTTGTAACCAATCTTGTTTGTTCCGAAATGACCTCCAAAATCTCAACGCAGACCACCTCGTCCCCGTCAAGGATGCTTCCCTCGCCATCCAAGAGGGCGCTCTTGTGGCAGAAGAGCTGGGCAATTTCGAAAAGATTCCGAGAAGCTCAGGTAACTTTCAGGGGCTTTCTTAGGGATTCAGAGGTTTTGCATGTAAGGTTCAAAGGGTCCACCGACACCCGGTACTTCAAGGGTGGTGGGCGGTCTTCAGGGTCGGAGGACGTCTGAACTCACTTCGCGACCCCCACAGCATGAAGATGCAGATTGAGACATGTTCACTCGAACGGGCTTTGTCCTTATACCTGTCCAAGAAGAGTCGAGCATTCTTCCATATTCTTTCCAGTTCCGTGTTTGCGTGCTTCTGTGCTGTAATGCAAACGAGAGCTTCTAGAGGAGTTCAGGTTGAAAGGTTGGCAACCACGACTGTGCGATCTTAAGTTCTAGCGTTAAGGGCATAAATGATGGCCCAAATAGCTGCAACGAGCATTCTACCAAAGTTCACTACTCTTGCGTAGCTCCGAGGCCTGGACGAACCCCAAACTCCTAAGAAACACCTGGAGCAGACCCGGCTCCACGGCCCTACGATGCCCTATATGCCAACCCCCTCCCAGTCAATTTGCCTCCAAGACCCTTGGAATCCTTAAAAGCGCCCACAAACAACAGAAGAGCCATCTCTCCAAGAGATCAACGGAGCGCTCCCTTCACAAGGCGCGGCACATCAGGGCCGTCCATGTCACTCGGGCGGATGAAGCCGAAGCCCTCGGAAGATCAAAAAAGACAGGGGCAATATGATGTGTCAATTCTCTTGGAAAAAATGCCGAGCGCCGGCACCCTTGCCCCTGAACTTCAAGCCATCACAATCCTGAAGGCAAGCCTGAACATACGAGGCACCGAGAAAGCGGACCGTGCCATTCGTCCCCGTGTTCGCGTTCGTTCTCGGGTGAGAAATATCGAAACTCCCAGAGCCCACTCTGCCATCGCCGGCGCAGTCAAGCACCAATTGCAACAACACACGGGTGAAAAAGGAGCACCACAACACAAAGAAAGGAGTCTGGTCCATTTCGCAAGCGATCCCTGACAAATCGCCTGCCTTCTCATCATTCCACCGAAGCATCACCCCGATCGGCATGGCTCCTCAAATCGCAGGTGATTTCGGCATCCCGTGGACGTCAGTGTGTCACTACCACAGTTCTGGCACCCTAAGCCCGGAAGAGCCGCAAAGCATCTAAAACCGAGTCCCCTTCTGACTCCCTTCTGACACCTTAGGACTTCCGCGAAAACCCCTGTCCCGCCGAGCGACAGGGTTTTGCGGAATCGGCTGAGGCTTTCACCAGATGTCTACGAAGCTTGTCTAGAGCTGTTGTTTCGAAAGCGTGGAGTCATCGCTTTCCGTTCCTGTCAATCTGTGGAGGTTGTCGTTGTGCCATTCCACTGGCACTAGTCGAGAGCGTGTTCAGGCCTTCAGGCTGGAATCTCAAAGCCTCAAAGCCCTTTGCAAAGCTCCAAAGACCCTAAGACACAAGATCACCGAATGGCCTCGGCCGCCCCCACCCCAGCAAGGGGGGAAGGGGTCCCAATGGGTAGCTTCCCAGCTTTTGGGCCAAAAGCACCAGCGCATTTGAGAACATGAGCTTTCAGAAGGCACGACAGTGACTCTAGAGCCGTTCCCGCAAGGTCAGCTAAACCTGCACAGGCAGAGTACTGCCTCAATGTGCTAAACTTGAAGCTCGGAGTATCGTAGAGCCCTTGCTGGAAGATTTAGGATGTAGATGGAGAGAGACGCGGCCTCTTTGGTACGAGTAGGCCCTAGAACCCCTCGTGGCCCTTCAAGGCTCGAGTCCGCATTGGCGCCTGACTTGAAGGTGAAAAGCGGACCTGGAGAACAGCGTGGAGAAGTCTTTGGTTCAATTGAAAATGAAAAGCTTCGTGTGAAATGCTTGGCTGAGTTTTTGTGTCCGTGCTTGCGGCTCTTGGCTTCAAGAGCCCAACACGTCACCACGCAACTTGGCAAGGAGACTTTGCAGTGCCGAAATGAGCCAAACACCCAGACTGTGTAGGGCTCTCATGATCTCGAAGTGCCCTTTAAGTGCCCTTGAAGTGCCCTTCAAGACTTCTTCAAGTGCCCTTCAAGTGCCCTTAACCGACCCTAAACACCATCGCGATTGAGTGGCGGTTGCCATCAGGTCCTTGCATGCCACCCCCACGGAACTCCTGGGGGGGGACGCTTACGCTTGAGCTCCTCTGGGCAAAAGAAACGAACACATGTTGGTTGGGGGGCCAAAACAAGCAGCACACAGCCTCAAATCATAGGGCTCCCCAAGCCTGAAAGCTCCCAAGCTCGACCCCCAAACCCAGCATCGAGCGAACGGCCTGACTGACGGAACGTCATGAATTGCGAAGCCAAGGACTCAATGCCCCAGAGGTAAAGAGCAGTCCTCCAGCTCTCTGGCGAAGTAACTCTCCGACATGGCCTGCCATAAACAACACTCCAAAGGGAGATGCTGATACGCGAGTTAGGCGCGAGGTAGGCACTTCTGTGGTTCGGGGACAGCGCACAGGCGACACAGCTGACGGCTGCCCCCGAGACAACAGACTTGCTCTACAAAATGCTCTGAATCCTTTCGAGTCCTTTTGGGCAGGCTCAGTTCCCGGAATTCCAGAATTCCTGTACGGCTTCGAGGATCTTACGTGGCTTGGGCCCGAACGACCTCCAAAGCAACACGCTTGGCACAGGAAGAAAAGGCCATCGTTTTGACCAGCCCAGCTACATCTTCGAGCCCTATTTGGGATCAAGGGCTTGGCACTTCTGTGAATGTCCAGGATTTCAGGCTTAGCGTTCCCCACTTTTACGTTTGCTGGGGGCTGCTGGGGAGCTGCTTCACTTCTCCCAATTTCAGGACTGGTCGAAGAGCTCACTTGGAAATCACGAAAGATGCGGAAGCAAGGGGGCATGCATGAATGTATCCGGGCAATTTCCCGCCAAACATCCCGAGCCAAGTGGCGTCATCGTGCTGAGCATGGTCCTCATCAGAAATCAAAACGGTGCGATAGGACCTCTATCTTGCCTTGGACCAACACAGAGCTGGGGGGGTAGCATGTTAGGAGCCAATGCTTCGGATACCACGCAGCCGACCAGCCCAGCTAAGTTTCGGCTTGGGAGGCTACAGCTATAGGGAACAATAGGGAGGGTTAGAGAGCTATAAGGAGCTATTGGGCGCTGTGGCTTATGGGCTTTGGTTCAAGGAGCATGCCTCCTCGCGATGCTAACACAAACACAAATGTCGCACCCACTGGCAAAGCCTGAAGATGGTCTCGAAAGGCCTCAGTCAGAGCCTAAGATAAGTGTGCTCTGAGGACTTCCCCACAGGGTCCTTCGCAAGGCTGGGGTCCTGCAGCACAGCCGCCGGGGGCTGCATCTCCACATTTTCGAGCATCGCCTGACGATCTTCAGGTTTTCGAGGTGCTTGCTTTACAAGCACTGACAACACTGCAAACATATAGCACACATACCCAACCGCCATATGCAAACAGGCAAACACATGTACAATCAGTTGTATGAACAAATCCGGGCATGTACTTGTATGAGCACATTGGCAAACGCTCAGGCCCCCCGTGTGTGGGAGCCTCAAGAAACCTTTAACCGTTTTGATTGGGGAGGGCTTCGCCTGTTTAAGGCGTCCTTCCAGTGTGGTTAAATGCTCTGCACGGCGGACTTAGGGTTCAGGTGAGGGATCTTGGGTTTTGAGAATCTTGGTGCTCAACATTCTTGAATCCTCAGTTGCCCAGATGCATGGGCGACTTGTTGGCCTGGGGCTTAAGTTGCGCCCTTCAGGCATCAGCAGCTGAATCCTCGCATCAGCTCGGCAGCGGGGGCCTGCTTTAAGGTGTTCGGCTCGTACTCCCGCAGGGTCTCTGGCCTTGGGGCAGAAGCCAAAGAAAGGATTTTCAGGCATAACAACTGACAACAAATTTAGGTTGTTTGGTTTCTCTGTCTCATATGGCTTTGGCTGGAGGGCTGAGAGGGGTGACACAGTTCAAGCAACCAATGGACCTTCTCGCGAGTGCCTTCACGCAAAAAAAAAAATAAAACTAAGAACGCTGTGGCATCTCAGACCCGAAGCTGCCTTTCCCCCCACAACACCATTCCGGCATGATCCGGGAAACCTGCGGAACACTACACCTGCCCAGTCGGAATGGCCTTCCCAAGCCGTACAGCCCAAGAGGCGCAAACAGACCTCTCCCCGACAAATCACTGGATGCTAACTAACGAGAAGTTTTTTCATGCGGTGTTGATGGTCCAAGTCCCCGGCGTCAAGAGGGGAAAAACACACATAAATCGGGAACCCGAGCGACACCATCTGCACACATTCCCCTGTCGGACCGAAACCTGAAGTTGAAACTCTTCACAAACCTTGGAATGTTTGCATCCGATCCTTGGAGCTGTGGGCGAAGCTTCCCGCAGAGATAAAATGATGTGCGAAGAGATTTACGAGGGCTGGCTGCCTTGCCTGCGCCAGTCGTGCATCCTAAAGGTCCCAGATCCTGCAAAGGCCGCGGAAAGGCCAACACATGGAAGCCAGCGCTGAGACCCAAGCGCAGTGCCCAGGCATTTCTTGTGACCTGCTGCCGCGGGGGTGGAGCGAATCGTTTTCCGAGTCCGCGGAATGTTGGTTTAGACTCATTGGGATAACAGCAGCCCAGCCCTCCAGGCAAACACAAGAAGGAGCAGAACTTCTCTTCTAGTGGGCACTCAGCACTCTGAGGGCACTCGGAGCATCCTCTTACCTTCACCCCCAAACCACAACCGAAGCCTTCAGAAGCGCTCTCTCTTGCTGTTCAGCCAAGGGCCCCGGCAAGCATCCTTGCATGTTGCAGGGCAGCTCTTGTCACAGGACGTCGAGACACCCATGACGGCCAGGTATAGAATGCATACAGACCCTGACTTGGGGCTTTCACAAGCCTGCTCTCTGATAGGAAAGTTTAGGGTTCTTCTTTATCCTGAACAGAAACTGAGGAGCCTTCATGGCGGAGCCTTCATTGGCGGAGCCTTCATGGCGGAGCCTTCATACGGAGCCCTCATAGCGGAGCCCTCATAGCGGTGCCTTCATAGCGGAGCCTTCATCGCCGAGCCTATGAGGAGCCTGTGACCCATTCATGCCCCAACCTTCCACCACTCGGACATCGCTCGAGCAGGTGGAGCGCGGCACATGAGCTTTGCAACAAAGACTGGCACAATGTGGTCAATGTGGCACATCGTCAAGTTTGCTGTGGTCCAGAACAGACAGGCTCTTGTGAACTTCCTGCATGCAGCACTTCAGCGGTCGAGTACATGTTGGTATCGTTATCTGATGCTCCCCGAGATCACAAAACCAAGAGTTTCAGGTGAGCGTGCTGCCAGCTTTGCCAGCTTGGCACCGGTTTAGAACAAGCCGCCCCAAGCTACGAAGACATCTCAAATCTGATGCTGCAACTTCCCCCTCCCTCCAACCAACTCTTCTGAGGACATGCCGCATGAGGAAGCCATTCAGGGTTTTCTGGATGGACCCTTTGAACCCTTTGCTGAGTTTGGGAACTCAGCCCGCTCAGCCGGAATTTCTTTCTCGCGAGCACACTGGGCTGGGTCTGACGGAGAGTAGGGCTTGAGCCATGGCCGGGCGTGTAAAAAGTCGCATTCTCCCTACGTCCCCTGCGCTGCTTGAAGAAGCTCGGAGTCCTCTCCTGCGGTTTGCTCACCGCTGCAACCCCACTAAGCTCTAAGCCTTGAGCTCTAAAGCCAGCTAAAGCTTCTGACGGCAATGGTAGACTATGCAGGGTGGCCGATTTCAGACTTGGAGGAGTCTCGCCCTTGAGAAAGCTTTCTTGCTCGCATATTCCTCTAGAATTCGAGACCTGGCCCCCCCATCCCCCCCCCCAAGTCTTCACTAAAGTCGAATCCAACCCATCACCCATTCATCAGTGACGAAGGTCGGACGAAGGTGTCAAAAAAAATGTCCCCCAGGATTCTCTCCTCTGACTCGGCATCCACCCATTGCCCCGAATGTTCGATTTGCGAACCGGCCTGAAATCTATGTCCCAATTCGTACCAGGATAAAACCGGCCCAGGACCAGTGGTCCTGTTCTTAATGCGCAGCTGCACAGTGATGTTGTAGCGCTAGGGTCCGCGAGCCAACGAAACATGGTCACCGTTCGTCACCTTGCAACCCTTGGGAAGTCTAGATTTGGCGCTGGAATCCCACGGGCAGAAACTGATCACTGGACAGGCCATCTGCTTCTGTCCCCGGCAATCTCTCACGTGTCCTTTGGAGGTGTGGGCAGGCTCTGAAACAGTCATCCTGACAGTCACCCTGCATTCAACACAGTACAAGAGAACCTGCACCGAATCTTGCCCGAGTACTCTGATTTCTAAGCATTCTCCGCCAGAAAGTCGGCACGTACAACAGTACCCCAGACATGCGAGCTGCATTCTGACATATGCATATATAAATATATGTATGTATGTATGTATGTATGTATATATATATATATATATCCCAAGCCAACGAGCAAAGGCCAGGAGCCGAATGTATGAGATAGTAAAAGCCTGCACCGGGAATTTGTTTCTCAGGAGATTCTGATTTCAACGCTACCTCCAACTGACACCTTGTTGATAAATAGCGCCGACAATTCCACATCGTCGGCATATCCGTTGACTTGGCCAACGTGCGTCAGGCGACAGGAAGCAGGGCCACGCGGAATCTGATGCTTGGCCCTGAGGAGACCGGAGGGTGATGTCAAACACCATCAGGACGATGACCATGATACATGATGATCATCAATATGATGATGACTGATGATGATCATCATCATCATCACGATGATGATATGAATGTGTGGCTGTGTTCTTTTGGGGGAAAGGGTTTGCACAGGTCAGTGCAGGGTTTACTCGGTGAACGACTCCTTTCGCCAGCTGGATTCTTTGGGGCTGCTGGCCGAGCCTTTATGTAATAATACTGCAATAAATAGGGTATAAGTTAAGAGGCGTTTAGCTACGATGTTCTTGGATTGCATCTTGTCATGTCTTCCATGTCCACTCTACGAGTGATTACTTCGAACGTCTCAAACTTAACAAGGGCACTTCATACTCTGCGGGATGCTGCAAGGGCCCGGGTAAACAAAAAGAGATGAGGGTGATCGCTGCGTTAACATCTAGCAGCACCTAACATCATGTAACATCATCTAACAATCTTACACCTTCTCAAGGGTTGTGAAAATTAGAAAAAAGGACATCTGCACGGCACTGCTTGACATCGTCTGGCACAGGAGCGCCAGCGGCGCAACACCTGTTGAGACCTTCTGGCTTGTCGATACCCATTATTTGCCTAGACGACTGCTGAAACCCCAGCTGCTGCACTCAGCTTGACTCAGTTTGACTTGCCAACTATCGGCACTTAATGTAGCAACTCAAGCGTCTATATACTCTAGCATGAATCCTTTGAATCTACCGCGAAGAGGGACCCGAGATGGTGGCCAAAGGCAAGTGAAGACCACATGTTGTGATCTGCAAACGTGTAGTTGTCATGCTTTGTCAAGCTCTGACTCTACCAGTATTCAAGCAGCCTCGGTGGCATGCACCTCGAGTTGACACCTCATTTTGTAAGAAGATGTGCGAAAAGTGCAGGAATCTTCGTGGCGCACCCCTTGCCTTGGACCCTCAACCCAAAGCTGTATGTGGGGGCCCTCGCTGCACTCAACAGGCACTCTGAGAGCAACTGCCAGGAAGCCGCGGGGCCCCTTGGGCTCAGTGGCGCTGTTGTGTCGAATGAAATGGAGCTCACGCTTTCGGGACTTGGAGGTCGTAGGGCCCTCGGGGGCTGCTCACTTTCGAGGAACCTTCCTCGCTGTCCTGTTGTTTTGTCGAAGCTGCGAAAAGATCCGAGCCCTCAATGATCCTCAAAGCAATAGCTATAAGCCCTGCACTGTTAGCCAGTGGAGGGGGAAGGGAGGACGTGCCGTAAAGCTACGTTGTCAGCCCCCGACCGAGAAGAATCTGGAAGTAGACCAGCCTTCCCTTACCTTGTAGCCGTCCTCTTTGCCTTCTGGACTGGACTGCTAAATGGCTAAATACTGATAAGGAAGGCAAACAAGGATTGGATCCTCCAGAAAGCTCAGCAATTGCCTATCCCCACACACGAACTCACCTGTTTTTACGGGTCGGTTGCTCTCCGTCTGTTTCCTCCGTGCCCGGGACTGGAGACCCCGAGAGGTGCACCGCTTGGACCGCTGACGTGTCCCGCGGCTGAGGCCAGCCCGGCAAGAGCTTACAAGGTTTTGCTTGGCGTACCACTGCTGAGAAGAACAAGCCATGAATGTAAAAATTGCAGAGCTTGTTCGCGTGAACGGAAGATATGGTGCAGTGCGACTAGACATCACTCGACGAAGGTTCGGCATGGGCGAGGATTCCTTTTCTGCCGTAAGCAGACCCCTTTCGACCTCACGAATACCAAACTCCCATCCTGTGTATTGCTGTAGCCCTCGCGGGTGCGAAACCTCACCATTGCATCTTAGCATCTTACTAACCCTGAGGATCACCAGCAACTTCGTGGCTTCGCGCTGGGTCTGATGTCTGAACTTCTTCAAAAACAAGGTCTCGCTAAAAAAGAACAAGCGGGGCAATGCTTGGAGGCGCTCTCTGAATGCGATGAGCTCCAAAGAGACGTGTGAAACCGATCCTTTTGTTCGGGCCGAAAGCGCCCTGTGCAAGGGAGATCAAGGGAGCACCTTTTGGCACGGTGTAGAGATGCTGTGGCAATCATCGCGGAAACGCTTCGCACACCCCTCAGCACTAAATCCTTCCGAACAAAATCACTGAAGAAGAAACACCTCCAAAACCCAGCAACATCTAACAACCATCCAGAAGACTGAAGACCAATCCGGCCTCAGAAGGCATCCGCACTACAGCGGGTCTTAAAGCACAACAGCAGGCCGAGGGTCAACTAAGGCCAACTGTTGCCACCTCACCGTCTCTCACCGCCTCACGGTCCCCCCGTCAGCGTGCCGCGCTGCGGCGCCTTGAGAAAGCCAAAAGAAGCCCCGAAAACAAATCCTTTCCTTGCCCCAATTCCATTCCCGGAGTCCCTATGCTCCCTGAGCCAACTTTAAGCCGCCTTAAGCCTTAACCCTGTGCCATAAACCATTAAGCCGCAGCCTCACAAACACTGACCCCACCAAAACCATCTCTAAACACAGGACTTGGATTGAAGCGAAAAGAACCAAAATAACCCAAGCAATATCCTGCCCGGAACCCACCACAATATCCTGGCAACGTACCAAACCCCGCACCCCCAAAAGCGCCTGCTCACAGTACTACACCCCACAGGAAGCAAGCCAAGCGGAGAGAACAAACAAAAACATCAAAAAACATGGAAACAACATGGAAAAGGATGACACACACAAACACCACCAGCCACACACCAGGCTGCTCGGCGAAGAAGCGAAGAAACAAAGAGCCTTCACCACGCAGACCGACTCCACATTCTCATGTGAGGGGATCTGTTTCTGACGGCTGAGGGTTCAACATGGAACTCAACAAAATGGTGAGTGGCACCTGGACAGCACCAGCGCTGCCAAACCGCCCAAAGCAATCACCTCGGCTGGAAGGCACAGACAAGTGACATATCCAAGAGACCTGTTGAAGCGCTCGAGCTGGGCGATGCGGGGCGGGCTTTGACGGCTATGAAAAGCTTGACGTAGAGTTGGGGGTTTCGGGGGGCATGAGATCAAAAACTTGTTCTAGGATCAAAAATCATATTTTTCTGGGGGGATCCAAAAAAAACTTATTTGGGATCAAGAACTAATTTACTGCACGTTTCCTTGGTTTTTCGTAGGAAAACCTCTATTATCTCATATTTTGAGAGGAAATCCCCCGTTTCCTTAGGTTTTTTGGCTACGAGAGGTCAATTTGCTTGTTTTTCCCTAGGAAACCCTCCATTCCCTCTATATTTTCAGAGGATGCATCCTACTTTTGCAGGATTTCTTTTTCATTTTGCTCGAACATTCTGCTGTTCGTCGGTTTCTCATTCATTTTGCTCGAATCCTTCTCAATCTTGGCTCCGTTTCCTTGGTTTTCCCTAAGAAAAACCTATACTCCCTTTGAACAGGACCGCATTTTTTCTTAATGTGAGGAAATTGATTGATTTCGCTCGCACTCTTCTTAATTTTTGCTCCGCTTTCCTTTGCAGCATCGATTTTGCTCGAATTCTCAATGATTTTGGCCCTCCATTCGCAAACACAATGCTCGCATGATGGGTTTCAAAAAGAGTGAAATGCCTTGAAGCAAGCTTGCACGGCTTTAAAAAAGCAGGTGGGTTGGGGGTGCGCAGACCACCCCCCCAATGCAAAGACAATGCTCGCATGATGGTTTTCAAAAGAGTGAAATGCCTTGAAGCAAGCTTGCACGGTTCAAAAAAGCGGGGAGGGTTGAGGGAGGGGGGGGCCCAGCCCCCCCCCCATTTGCAAACACAATGCTCGCATGATGAGTTCCAAAAAAAGTCGCATGCCTTGAAGCAAGCGAGGGGGGGGGGGTTCTTGAAGCAAGCTTGCCCGGCCAAAAATGCAGGGGGGTTGGGAGGGGCCTTGCTTCCTTGCTTCCTTGCTTCCTTGCTTCCTTGCTTCCTTGCTTCCTTGCTTCCTTGTTTCCTTGTTTCCTTGCTTCCTTCCTTTCTTCCTTTCTTCCTTCCTTCCTTCCTTCCCGCCTTCCTTGGTTCCGTCCTTGGTTCCGTCCTGCCTTCCTTGCTTCCTTCCTTCCTTCCTTCCTTCCTTCCTTCCTCCGGAAGAACAGTGAAATCATTTCTTGATCCTAATTAAACTATTTTTTGATCCTAAATTATCTTTTGATCCTAAATAAGTGTTTTTGATCCGCATGCCTTTCGGGGGGGGTGGAAAAAAACAACCCAAGACTTCAAGAGCCCTCCAGAAAGCAAGAATACGCGAGAGATGCGTGATGCGAGAGCCCTGGAGCCTTGAGGCGCCAGCCCCGAGCAATGAGAGCTTCAGCTTAGACAGCGCTGCGGCCCCTGCTCAGCTGCTCAGGGGGGAGCGGAAGTGAAGTCGTTGAAGTCTTGAAGAGTTCTTGAACTCTTTCTGGGAAAACTCGCATAAGCCCGCTGCAAGAGAAAGCTGGTTTGGAATATTGTCAAAGCCGGACCCGAAACAAAATTCCAACCCACCAGGCTCCAGTAGACTCAGTAGACACGGACCTTTCTGTGAAGATGACAGTCGTTGTCGGCCACAGAGCCGGGGTTTGGGGCTCTGCGATTGCTGCATTTCGTGATGACGAGGTTGGGGACTAAGGTGCAACGGCCAGCGCACAAGTCTTCACTGTAATACAAGAACCCCCGTCAACAAAGCTCAAATGTAGGTGCTGGCCATACTCGGACAAAATCTCTCGAAAGGCCTTTCGTCTGCGGCAAGGTGTGGTTCGTGTCGTCCTTGCTTAGACAGGGGATCAGGACGAGGATTTGTTGTGCACGGATGCATCATGATGCACCCTAGAGCCCTAGTCACGTCTGGGCCACTGCTCGGGATTTACGGCATTTTGCAGCACTGAAGTGTTCGCATGCTGCAACAACGACGTTCCTAAGGTGAACCCCTCCCCATGAACCCTAAGCCGCTGAAACCCCTTACCAAAGCCTCGGCAAGCCGAGAAGCGTCCCTCTTCGCTTTTGGCAACCGGAACCTTGAACCCGAACCCCCAACTCCCCCAAGTCCCCAACTCCGAGCGGAATCCCAACCCAAACTGGAGTGTCCTTCGAGCTCATGGTGAGGTGTCGATTGCCTCGATTTCCCAAAGGCTCGCCAGGCCTTAAAGCCGGAGCTCCAGCCAAGATCTCTTGGATCAGCTCTCACATGAAAGAGGGAAATCTCTACACTAGCTCGCTGAATATGAAAGGCTCCCTCTCCCATGTCTGATGGAAGCCTAGATCAGATCAGACAAGCTATGCCAATCAATATCAAACAATCCGAGTCCTTCGGACGCAAACATGACACAGCTTTCTGGCCATTGGCGGAGACTGCAGAACCTCCTCCCCCTCCCCCAAAAGAACAAGCAAAAGTCCCAAACAAGAATCCACAGCGCCTCCAAAGAGGGCATGGCAGCAGCTCGTACTGCGAGACCTCCTGTCCATCCTGCGTTCTTGTAGGTCTAAGTTTCAGGGACCTTAGAGCGGTGGGGTTCAGCAGCAACACAACGGCTGTCTACTGTCAGAACCCCTCCTCAGCCAACGCAAGCATGGGACATGCTCAACCCCTGAGAATGTATCTGCCCAGACCGTGTCCTCTTCCGAGTGGCTCAGTGCGTAGGTCGACAGCTCCCGCATCAATCTCTCGCGGACGAAGTCCGAGAGCTTCTTCCAGACAGCGAACAGGTCAGCTTTTGGCTCTTACAAGAACCTACACGCAATCCCCAACCCAAATCCACTGTGTCCACCAGGAAAGGCAAAGAACAGGGTCTGGGTTAAGAATCGCGGGCCCTGTCCCAGGGCAAGAGAAAACCAACAAGAAGGCTTCTCACCGTTCATGGTTGTATCGTTGTATGCCTTCAAGTTCCGTGATGAAGCAACAAAATCAACAAACTTCCAATCGAATGCGCTAAGCCCTAAGCCCCTCAGTTCATCCGTCCTGAAGCTCATCAAAGTGATCGGCTGGCATCTGCTCTTCGCCAAGTTCGGACACGTCTGCCTCGCGCGGCCCCGACCCCGAACACCAATGGACCAAGCCAACACCAAGCCAACACAGAATAACACATACAAAATCGGATCTATCGGACTGCAGACTCTTCACATCCCTCATCAATACATACCTTCGTCATGCACTCGGGATGGCAGTCACCTGACCTTGTACTACAGGCAAAGCGAAAGACTTTCAGACAGCTTTCCTATATACATCATTCGCATGAGCTCTCAAATCGAAGAAGGTTTCCCGAAGACCAAGTCGCAATGAATCCCTCATCTGCCATACGTACCTGGATGCCAATCAAGTACCAGAGGTCCTCACCCGTCCTCCGGCGTCTATGTGTGAAAGCAGTGGTTTCCCTCTCTCCCTCTCCCTCCCTCTCCCTCCCTCTCCCTCTCTCTCCCTCTCTCTCCCTCTCTCTCCCTCTGTCTCCCCCCCTCTCTCCCTCTCTCTCCCTCTCTCTCTCGCTCTCTGTTCTTTCTGCGCACCTAACCCTCTTTCGTTGGAGAGGGCCGCCCGTAGGCGTGTGTTACAGGGTACAGTGGAATGGCCGATGCCTCAGAGTACCCAGGAGACTCAACCGTTTCATGCATTTTTCTCAGTAGTAGTAGTAGTAGTAGTAGTAGTAGTAGTAGTAGTAGTAGTAGTAGCTGCTAGGACGGGCTCTCGCTCTCTCTCTCTGTCTCGCGCTCGCTCGCTCGCTCTCTCTCTCTCTCTCTCTCCCCCTCCCCCTCTCCCCAGACCTCCCACCCCTGCGCCCCCTTACTTTTCTCTTTCTGTCTCTCTCTCTCTCTCTCTCTCGCTCTCTTCCTCTCGCGTCTGATACTCCTGTAGCCCGCCGAGCAAGCTAAGGTTTGCTAAGGTTTGCCACCACTCTCAGCCGTCACAAAGGCGCTCGAGCACCAGAAGCAAAGCAGCAAAAACAGCATGAACTCTGAATGTCTAGGCCTTAATAAACAACGGCGCTGAACCCTTCTGCGCCTATCACGCGCGACTGTCAAGCCTCGCAGGTCCAGCCTTTCTTGTTGTGTTCGAGCTGAAGAAGTTTACGGTTCAGGGATCGCTGGAATTCGCGTGGGATCTGTCTTGGGGTCAAGGTTGGGCCTCAAACCCCCCTCAGCTTTCACGGGGTTTGCGTCTGACTGCAAAGCCGTGAGGGCCTTTTGTCAGGGTTTCGGGGCTCCTGGGCTTCTGGCTTTTGGGGGACTCCGGGGACTCCGGGGACTCCGAACACCATGTGCTGGGAATGTCTGAATGTCTGCAAACGGGAAGAGGGAGTGAAATTTAGGGCTTCCAATGTTGCCCAAAAACCGGGGTTTTGGGATTGGTTTGGGGAGTTTCAGGAGTTTGCCTCCCATTCCCATGAGCCCCCCATCTTAGAGTTGCCTTACGTCCACCAAAGCATCCAAGAACCCCCACCCCATCCACCCCCCAACCCCCCATTCTGAGAGCCCTGGCAAGTTCAGGAAGAGCTCTCCGGACTTCTTGCGGTTCGGGATGACGGCTGTAAAGGGCGCGCCTCTCAAAAGAAAACTTCAAGGCCTTCAAGTGGCTCTTCAAGTGGGCCATCCTCAAGGGCTCACCAACAGTGCGGCGCAGGGTTTGGAACAAAAGGATACGGGGTTATGGGGCCATGGGCGGGGCCCACCATCGAGAGAAGCCCAACTCGATAAAGGGTTGTTTAAGGACCAAGGTTGACTCTTGCCCTAAACTCTGCACACCGTCACGTACCGTCGGATTTTTCCAATCGCAGGGAATCCAACTCAAGTTCATTGTGCCAAGCGACACTCAGTATTCCAAAGGTTCTGCCAGAATCATTCGGCACCAAATGCAACCGTGCCAGGTGAGCATCGGCTGAAGACCACATGTGCCGTACCAGGTGAAAAGCACTTCTCGAATCTAGCTGTGCTCTAGCTGTGCTCTACGCCCCCTTGCCCTTCACCACGTCCAGCAGCTGCTTCGTTTGAGGATCCAGCATACCAAATGTATCCATGGTAAAGAACGACATGCCAATGACTGTGATCGCTAGCCCAGGCAATAAGGCGTAGAAGATTCCGTTCTTGACCTTGGCAGAATCGGGCCAACCACTCACTTGTCACTACGACATCTTCTCACTTGTGACTGTCTTTGTTTTCTCACTTGTGATTAGAAAGTTCTCTCACCTATGACTTTTTCTTGTTTTCTGTAAGATCACTTGCAACCACAAATTCAAAAAAAAAACGAAGCTCCCACTCGAGAGAAATGAACAAAACTCACCGGCGCCTTTTCGCTTTTAGTGACTTACTTGTGACTATTTCACAAGTCTGGATTTTGGGAGAACAGCGGGGTGGAAAGGCAGTGGGTGGGAGGGGGGGGGGGAGAGATAATAGCGGGGTGGAAAGGCGGTGGGTGGGGGGGTTGCTACTCGCGTGTGTTCCATTTGCTGCCGGGTGGAAAGGTGGTGGTTGGGGGGAGGAAGGGGGGGTGGATGGCGTGTTCCACTTGCTCAATGAAATGATAACAGGAATGACACTTTCAAGACAAACAGGTCGACATAAATTGAAAAAGTCATTCCAGTCACGACGAAGGGAGCCAACAACAGAAAAACCCGAAGAAAGAAGCAAAGAACAAACACAAAAAAAATGGAACAACAGAAATAACCACAACAATCATGCTGAACGTGCTAGCAAAACGCTGGTCTTTACACTCTGTGCGCAAAAGAAAGTCAGAAGCGAAACACAGCCACATGCAGCTCCTTAAAAGTCACAAGCGAGAAACGAAGAAAAAAGTCACGAGCAAGAGGGGAAAATCAAAGAGGTTCTTTGAAAGTTTCGGTCGTGCGCTTTCGCGGATGGCAGGAGCAGAATCGTAGAGTCCCCTGGCTCCCCACACCCTCTCAAAGCACAGCTTCAAAACAATGCCCCATCGTGATCCTCCTTATTTGGTCCCCACATGTCACAACACGCAGACACAACAGTGCTTTTGTAAGGGATGGCAAAGTGTCCGATTGGTCGGCTTCCAGCTCCTTCTTGTAGCGTTTGGTCATTTGCACTCTCACAAAGTTGAGCTCGTCGGGCAGAAGCTCATCACCTCAGAAAGATTTTCACCCCTGCCCCGAATCCTTTGAACAGCAACTGAAGCATCCCAAGAAGCCCAAGCCCATCCCAAGGCCACACACAGATCGGACCCTGGGATACGACGGGGCCATATCCCTCGGTCCCAACAGAGAGGACCTGAAGCGACTTGAACTTGGATTCCGGCTCCAGGAGAGTGTGTTGGCGGTGTATATGGGTCCCTGCCATGAAAACTGAAACTCCGCGAATCCTGAGAACATGCGTAAAGGATGCGAGCACCCCAGCACTAAAAGGAACAGTAGCGCCGAGTGGCCCATGACTGAGTTGTAAGCGGCCACCAGCTCTTGAAACCGCTCTGCCGCTTCAGGGTCGTTGGGATTCACGTCAGGATGCTCGGTTTGCACACGCTTCCGAAAAAGCTTCCTCAAACAAGGACACTCTGTGACCCTCCTATACCCGGCGACAAGCGACAAGCACGTGCCCAAAGTGGACAAAAACAACAAACGACTTCACGAGCACACTGTGTGACATCCCCCAAATTTACCCAAGTTTCCTGATCTCTGACTTCTCGGTGCCGCGCTTCACTCCCAAGAGGTCGAAAGGATTCGGGCCATTGGGCAGTCTCAACGGGTTGCTTGCATATCGCGCATTCCTCCAGAATCTCCCAGAGCGTGCAACTCCAGCTTCTTTGGCAGGAAACGGCTGGGTAAAGGCTGGCAGGTCGTAGCAGCGGTAGCACATCCAGCAAATCCACCACAGGCCAAGAGAAACCGCCTTGCCACGACCCATTGCAGATGGGAAGATTGTATAGCTTCCTCCAAACGGATCTGAACCAACAAAAAACTCAGGTTTCAATGAAGGTTTAAGCTTTGTTTGGTCCGTGAGCTGGATGCCTGCAGCGCGGCTGCTTCTGGAAACTCGCTGGAAAGAAGTTTCTTGAACATGGTCGAAGGAACCCTCCCTTGCATTGGCCAAAGCACAACTCAAGCCGAAAGCATTAACACAATAGCAGCGGACCAGGGATTTTTGGGTCGGGCTTTAGGGCCTTTGGGGGGAGATTTGAAATCTGGGGACTGAAGGATTGAAGATGATTCAGAAAAATAATGAAAGCAAAGTTTACGGCTCGGTTGCGATTTGTTGCAACGGTCTGGAAGTTTAGGGTAGGAGGAGGATGAGGAACGTCGAACCCCAAGGAATCCTCCCTCTAAACGCTTTCGTCAACCCCTAAGGATCACTCTTTTTTGCTTCGTAGAGTTGTTGAGAGCTGCTCTTCTTTTTGCTGTCGGGGCAGGGGGAGGGGGGGGAGAGGGGCGTGAGAGGGGCGTGAGAGGGGCGTGTCGGGGCATGTCTGGGCCTGTCTGGCTGGCAAGCCGCAGATTCATCAAGTCGACCGGGTCCATGTCGACCCCCTGGCGTGCGACCCCACACTTCGCACTTGCGCGCTTCGCGCTTGCACGCTTCGCTTCGCTTAGCAGTCGAAGGCAGGCTGTTTGAAGCGTTTTGTGTGTACTTGAGGGTGTCAGGGTATGTCAAGGTATGTCAGGGGCTTTTGTTCAGAGTCTTGGGGATTGGGCATGCGGGCGTTTGGGATGAGGACATGGGCGGTTTCCTTGGCTGTGCGGCTTTGGGGGTCTTAGGATACTCACTGAACTCTTGACATCCCGTCTGGTAAAGGGCTGAGAAAACTGTTAGTCCTGAGAATGGCCAACCTGCAGGCGAGATCGTCCGACTCTCTCGGCTCTTATGGCTCTCACGGCAAACCCCACATAAACTGACCTGTCAGAGAACCCCGCAACGCGCTGAGGCACGAAGTCCATTCGTCAAAGCCCTAAGCCTTAAAACCCACAAAGAACCGTAACATACCGTAACCCAAGCGAAACAGCCCAAGACCTGCAGCTGAGACGGCCCTGACTCCTCAAACTCAGCCGATAGCAGGAAACCACAAATGCCAATGTAAATGCCGATGCCCTCCAAAAAAAAACGACGCACCTGGTTCAGGAACCTACAGTTCACACCGAGGATTTCACTCCTGTGGGGTCGTCAAGTTTGATCCTTTACTGTTCGCCACGGATTTAAGGAGTGCACTTGGAGTTCAGAGTTTGGGATTGGGTTTGTGTTGCTGTATGGTATGGTCTACGGGCTACGAGGCTACCGAAACTGCCTGATGCTGTGGCCTAGTGTGTGTTGCAATTCCAGAACGGGCGGCATCAACTCTGACAGGTCGTTTTACTACGTAGTTTTGGAAGGCTCTGGAGATCGGGTTCACTGCGGATTTCAAGAGGATTTCGATGAGGAGGGCTGAGGGGGACAATCCGCCGTACACTCTGTACCAGCCTCACACCCTCTACAGCACTCTACAGCACACTACAGCACACTACAGCACACCATCTAGACGTCGAGCTCAACAAGAGAATCGAATCCGAAACTGAAGGCTATGAATCCCGTCCCAGATCACTTTACAAGTCTGCCATCCAGCCTCGTGTATCCGGTCATGGTTTCAAACTCTTTGGACACGGCGACGAGCGGATAATCCTCTCCTCACAAAGCCACGGAGCTCCGAGATGCCCGACAACTCGTAAGGGGCGACAACCCAACGGAGCTGCAAATACGGGGCCAGGGGCCACATGAACAGCAAATGAATTCAAACACGTGGCTGTAAAAGCTGCCAGAAGCCTGTCTAAGACATCCAAGACTTCCAAGACGTCCAAGACGTCCAAGAGCACAAGGGCCGAGGGCCGTGAACATCCCTACTGAACTATCGGGCCTTTATCTCAGAATGCTCTTCAACCTCGCTTGAGAGCCCAACCGAAAACCAACCCCAACAGAAAGCCGGGCCTTTCGGATTGGCGATGGTGACGCAAAACTTGCAGTCTTGAACTGCAGACTTGAAGGCCTTAACTTGCATCTGAGAGGATGATTTTCTTAAGGTGTTCTTTGGGAGCAGAGCACACTCATGCTTCGCAACAGATGCAAAGAGAAAGTCACCCCTACCTACGAAAAACCTCGAAGTTCAGAAGAGCCTGCTAAGACGGGTATGTTTTGCACATCGAAGACCTGAAGAAAGGGAAACCGTCTCCAACTTGCATCTCCCGATCATCTCCCCACTTCGAGAACTTCGAGATGTCAAAGGCGCAACATGGAGAAGCCATCGGCACAGCCGCAGATACTCGAAGATACTCGTCAAATCAGGTTAAGGTAGCAAGTCCGACAAGCTTGCCCATCACTCAAATACGAACTCAAACATCGTGGCCTTTTCACGCACAGAGACTTAGCAGAAGCCCCCAAAAAGGCCCTGTAGTCCCTCGAGCCTTCCAACTTCAGGCGGACTGCCTGCGACACGATCGCCTCGTTCACCGCGGCGAGCAGCTCGTCGTCCACGCACCGTGAAACCTTGGTCAGGAGAGGGGGAGAAGGGAGGGGACGAGGGCGGAGAGGATGGTGGAGACAGTGAGAGGAAGAGGTAGAACTACCGAAGCAACTCAGGAAGAGGTCACCGGGCCCCGCGAAAGATACTAGGCTCATCGGCTGGATAGCAAGCACATCAAGTGGGGATAGAGCCTCGCATGATCTGACATGGCAAATCAGGCCGAAGAAACAAGAGCTTCAGGCACTGCGTTCACCCAAACAGCCATCGCGCAGGATTTTGTTGAGACCTTGAATGGCTTCGAGCCCTGTCCAGGCTCCTGGTTGGGCTTTCGGAAGGGAAGCCCTACCTAAAGCGCTCTCAGATCCCATGTACACATTTGCTTCATGAGGGCTGGTTCATTTCCGCTCCAGCCCCTCGAAGTTGACCCTGTGACCTGAGTACCACTTCTTCCAAGCCTGCACGAGGTTTCTTCGAAGAACCGAACCCAAACCAACCCGCTCCGAAACCGCGAAGGCGAAACCCAGCCACTACCCGCTCGGATCCCATTTGTGGGTCCATTTCTGAACCCATTTCTAAACATTCTAATATCCTTTGTTTGCCTCTCTGGGTGCCCCGAGCCGCTGCATGGCGCGAAGAAGGCCGCGAGGTCTGCCGCGAAGTCTGCCGCGAGGTCTGCCGATTTTTCTCTGAGACTTCCAAGCTGAGAGGTGTTTTTTTGTAGGACACTGGGGTGCCTCTCATATTTAGGAGTTGCAGAGATTCGCAGAGATCAAGGCCCGGATTGAGGAGGCTTGTCACTGGTTCCCGAAACATGTGGCTGGCGCTGGGGGCGCTTCCTTCAATCGTCGCATTGACCAAGCTTGCATCTTTCGTTCAACTCGCCACACATTCCGCCTGGACAATTACATACAAATACTTCATTGAGCTCGCAAGCGGACAAAGGCAGCCACCCCAAGCCAGAGACATGAAACTTTTCGATGTGCCCCCAATCTGAGAAAACCCTATGACAAAATTTTAGGGACTCGGAGCGGATGAGGCCTTGGGTGCTCAGCAACCTGCTTGGAATTTAGTCCGTAAGGTTGGAGTGCTCAAACTGAGGCCAATCCTCAAACCCCACCAAATCGCAATTGCCTGGATCAGCCCATCCTCCAGCATTGACCTGGTGAAGCGAGGGCCTAGTTGTAAGACTTAAGCCTTAAGCCCTTCAACCGCACACTTCTCTGGGGGAAACCAAAATAAAACTGGTCTGGGTTCTTCAGGTTTTTGAGACCTCAAAGAGGCGATTCAAGTGTTCGGGGATTCTTGCCATTCCTGGAGCAAGCGCATGCGACTAAGTCGTCTGGGCCTGCTCGATCAAGGCCCTGGCACTGCTCAGCAAAAAGGACTCTTTACAGGAAATTGTAGCCGACGAAACCGACTCCTTACCCCCAAAACCCTCGCAGAATCCAAGCCTCCGCAGCCCCAACAACCCTCTTCCTCTCCTGCACCTCTCATCCAGCACCGCGTACGGTAGTTTTGCAGCTTCAGGTGTACAGGAACCCCGGGGAGCCACAACAAGTCGAAATCACATCCAAAGCCCCTCAGTCACTGATTGCTACCATGCCGTGTGACCGCCAGTAGTTTGTTGCAGAAGAGTCAGAGGCTGGAGCCTTTCAGAACATCTCAAAGGACACATAAACCCCATCAACCTTCAATAGACTTGCATGGTGCCTGGGTCGTTTGCAACGAGACTTAACTCATTCGGCGTGGCGTGGGCCGAAACGGAGACGCCGGATAGGGGAGCCCTGTTCCGTTCCAAGGCCTGTTTGTGGGGCTGCCGAATGCAGAGGTTCAGTGGTGTTGGGGTTGGGAGTTGTAATATGGATAGGATTTTGATTTCGACCTTTGGCCGAATATCATGAGTCCACATTGTGGTGACAAACAAGATATGGATATGGCTTGCTCTGTCAAGTTCATGTGCTCTCATGAAATCTTCCGACGAAGCTGAAACTGCAGCGGCTGGTAAAGCCAAACCTGGTTCAGGCTTGCGGAAAGCGAATGAAAGCTGAGGCCCAATCTGCACGACTGAGACATTTGCCATCCCTCACCTCCACAACTCTGCGAGAAGTGTTTTTTAAAGCAACTTGGGCCATCCACCATGAAAAGAACCAAGGCAAACAGCCAAGTGGCCAAGCGGCCAAGAGGCCAAGCGGTGACACTAAAACACTTTGGAAACAAAAATGACATCTGTTTAGCGTTCTAGATCACTCACCACATCCACGCACGCACGCATGCACGCCTGTATAACCATCCGAAATCACATAGACGGCAACAAGCGGATCACGGGTTGCACGTGCGGGGCGAAAAAAGTCGAGGCATCCTGGAGCCTGCGTAGTAGCGTAGCGGCATAGCGGAGTTGCGTGCCCAGTCGTGAGTATGCCAGGCCAGGCATGACCTCTGGTTCCCGATGGTTCAAGGCCAAGAAGCATTTCGCACACCTTGGCAAGTGGCATACGTTGTCTCAAATGCAAACTGGGAAAATGTGGGGCGACCAAGCTTAAGGACAATCACGAATTTCATGGCAAAGGAAAGACAGCGAAACGCCGGTCCCAGAGTATGAGGGAGGGCGGGCCGCAGAGTTTAAGCCTCGGCCAGGCGAGGTGCACAAGCTTGGTTTCGGAAGAATGAGCCTAGCGCGGCGCAGCCAACACATGCATTGTGGGCCAATCGAGATGGCTAAGCGACAACCCCGCAGCGAGCTGCGAGCAAGTTGAAGCGCGACACAAGCATGGTGAGTCACGCGATCTTACACACATTACCGTCCTACAGAGAATGTACAATTTTTGCGTGTGAGAAAGCAACCAATCCAATCAGTTGAGCTTCAGGTTTTGTGCAAGAATGCACATCCTTCAGACACGGAACCAAGGTCCATCGTACACATTTGTGTCATCCCATTGCAAGAAAGGCAAGAGAACTGACTCCGCGGCGAGAGTGTCCGCAGTAGCTACCGATGAGGTGACCTCAATCGGCTGGGCAACACAAGTCTAGACCTTCGCTGGAAGTCATTTGTCTCAAGCTGACATCAACTGCTATCACGAGCATTCAAACCTGTTTGCTGAACACGGGAGCTCGGGCAAAGATTCTGGAGCATGCACAGGTTTGTGCGTGCGGGCTCCTTCGCTTCCATGCTACGGGATTTTACACATGTCACGACCTTCATCTTCCTCGTGAATCCAAGTGCGAAATCATCATCTTGGCGTATGGCACGCAATTGCAAATCTTGCAAGGTTTCCTAGATTCTGCATCATGGCGTCTCGGTCTACGATCTTGGTTATTTTATAATTAACGCCCGAAAAGGGTACCCATATTATCAGATGATTAATGGATTGCCAAATCATTAGAAGAATTTTGGATTTGGGGAGGGGGGGGGGGGCTAGAATCATATATAGATTTCGGAAGAATCCAGGTATTTGCACTACATATCGTCTTCCTTTAGACGAAATATATTCTTAATCGAAGACCAATCCTATCCCTGTTCCTATAATACAGCCAATATAATATATTCAAATATATTATTTCTAGTAAACAAATTTTCAAGAATTGCAACTTTGTTCCATATTGTTTCTATTGTTATTGTTTTTTATATTGTCCAGATGTTTGAAATAATCTTCTTTTTTTAGTATTTTTAATCTATTCCCAGAAACCCACCCCTTCGAAAAGCCCCATGGCAATTAACATAATTACTCAGAAATCTTTTGATAGAGGTGTTTAACAATTCTTCAAGCATGAATCTCTATAATTGAATTTGCGCAACATATAATATCAATAAATCTTTCCAAATCTATCTCAACAAATGCCCTATATCTATGTCTACATATCTATACCACTTATACTACAAAAACATACAATCTAGCAACCGATATATGAGATATAAACATCACCAATCATCGTTCAACGTTGCGAATTGTTCATTGCGAAATACAGCAGGTCAATAAAATGAGAAAATAAGCCTTTTGTAAGGGGCCTGGGATGCAGAGAACCGCTCGAAGTAATCATGATATTTTCGGACAGGTTAATATCCGGAAACCAGGGTTCTTGCATGCCCTCCTCAAACGGAGGCAGCACGATCCACATTCGGCAGCGTCGAAATCCTCCGCATTGTCTAGCTGGGCAGTTCAAAACAGCCTCCCGTCCGGATAGAACAAGACCATCATGTCTTGATGGCGTAGCCCCTCCGCCAGATCTGTGGGCCATCGTGACTCGTTGCGGAAGTAGCTCATCATCTTGGAGTACTGCACGGGCCAGGGATGCATGGAACCATTCGAAGTATTCATAATATTTTCGGATAGGTTAATGCCTGGAAACCAGGGTTCCAGGGCGGCCTCGCGTGCTTGCACGCCCTCCTCAAACGGAGGCAGCACGATCCACACGGCGTTCGGCACCGTCGAGATCCTCTTCCGCATTAAATCATCAATCTCAAAATTGAATCCGCCCAACTCGCGGAATGCGAGATAGGTCTTCCACCACCAACAGTCGGAAAAAGGCAAATAGAAACGGCGGGTGAAATTGATAACGGCGTCCTTCAACTCCTCCTCGTTCATGGCAAATAGAAACTTCTGAGCAGAGGTTGAGTTGTTGTTGTACACCCATCTACAAAACCTTGGCGCATGGTGAAACGAATTTTGAGGCAACGCAAGATATAAAGACAGCATGTTTGCTATACATACTTTTTTTGGTATCTTGAAAATACGTCCCTTGACCCTATACCCCGTAAAAGCCTATGATTCCCTTGAAGTATGGTAGCTTGGCCTACATTCCCCTAAACCCTAAACCGCAAGAAGGCAGGAAACTCGAAAAACTGTGACACGGCGTTGGCTCCCGACCTTCGCACTGTAGAGATGATCCTCGGCTTTGGTTCAGAGAGGCTTAGGATTTAGCTTTAGGGTTTGGATGTAGGTTTTAGGGTACGAGGTTGCGTTCCGGGAAAAGTTTCTTCGAACATGCCTTCTTAAACCTCTTCAGCTTTCTGCAAAACGACTCTCCAGAACTGCCAAGGGACAAACACCAGTTTGCGACGGTACAGTTGTGCAGACTCTGCATCACATAGTTACATTCTTTGTCCCATCTGCGGTCATACGGATAATGCACTCTGGAGACTGTTTGTTGCCGTCCTTGGGCAAGAGCATGAAAATAGATGGCCCTGCCGAGAGTCGTGCTGCCAGTCTTCGGGTGGACGGCAAGGATGACACGACTGGGAGGGCCAACAGGCTGCTTTGGAGCTTCTCGGCCAGGCGGCTTAAGCGTGCTCCCTTGAAACCAGTCCTGCTGGAACACCGAGAACTGGAAGTACAAGCTTCCTACGACAGTGAGAATCAGCACACAGCAGGCAGCGCCCGGAAAAGCCCATCTCGCACCGGCGGAGTCCATGGGCTGCAGGTCTTAACAACTTTTGCATTGTTAGCAATTCATGCTATGCCTACTTCCAGTGGTATTAGCATCGCCTTTCCTTCTCAAACATACTCATGTCACAACGCCACTGATTTTGGGCTAGTGCCGTTATGTTTTATGTCTTTCGGTCGTGCCTAACCTTTCGGACTCTCCACAACCTGCTTAAGATATCTTAAGGTTGTAGTACGGAAACAGCAATCATCTACAGGCTGCAGGACACTGACAGGACTACGAACCATCTCCATACAGCAAGGTGCCAGTGCTTCTTGGGCACAAGAAGTCACGTGATGGCTCGGGGCTCAAGGCTTGGGCGCGAGAGCTCAGAATGGATGTCCCGGCTGGGTTTAAGGCTTCAAGATCAAAACTTGAGGGTGTTTCGTTGAGGCTCAAAAACGTCTCAGGGCTCGCTGTCAGGGCTTGCAAACTCAAGGATTTACTGGGGCTTAGGGCTGTCTCAGGCTTCAGCGGTTGTCCTGCCCCCCATCTACAGCCACAGCACGTCGGAACCCAGAATTACGACTGAAAGACGGTCGGAACTCGAGATTGCAGCACAAACGTGCATGTCTCAGCCATCCACTGCACAGCCAGACCCCGGCGAGCTCTGCTATCGAAAACTTTAAGCACCGGACTCCATCAGCAACCATGCTCAACTTGCTGCGCTGTCCACACACTTGAGGGTGCTCCGAAACCGAGCATGGGAGAGCTGCTTGCATGTCCTCCTATGTTATCTTACATTCTGTTACATTTTAAGTTATTTTGTTTTGTCAGATCATATAACAATAGATTGCATTGCTCCGTCAAGATGTGAATAGCCCATAGAGGCTACCACGGCTGCGCTGCTGCTTCGCGATGCAATAAAGTAGCTTCGCAGTGCCTTTTATTGGTCCAGTTTCGGGCGAAACCAATCCTGTTGAGGAACTACATGAGGTCACCAGGAATCAGAAGCCATGTTATTTACCGTAGCTTCCGATCATGGTAGCTTAAACGAAGTTCCTTGACAGCAATCCGTCAACCGAATCTGGAAATCTCCTTGCAATGCCAGAGCCAAAGCTGTTTCGCGGAGGCCTGCACAGACGCCGACGCCACTTTTGGCTGAGTCCACTAGCTCACTAGCTCCCCCGTTGCTGCTCAGGAATCAAACCGCATGATTTGCCGTACATCCCTGATTATCATCCTTAGACTGAGTTCCTTGTCAACAACCTGTCAAAATTTCTGCTATTCTGGCACATTGGATTCATCCAAACGCCTGCAATGAAGGGCCTGTCACGATCATCAGCGAAGCAACGACCAGTCCGCCTGCGCTGACGTCCTCACCGCGCCGCACAGTAGCATTGTTGAGGATCGCAGCCGCATCGTCCACGCTGAGCGGCAATGTGACTTCGATGGTGCGCTGTAGACCACCCCCGCTGTTGTCGTCGTGGTCGGGACCTGAAAGCACACACCGGACTCGAACATGACCTTCCACTCGCATGTAGTATAACTCCGTTCTCCAACCAAAGGTTCAGGCGCAAGCACTCGCCGTTTTTTGCGCGCGCAGGGCTAAAAGGTTGTTTGCCCCTTTGGGCTCTCACCCCTCCCAGAGATGAAGTGAATTTCCGAAAGAGAGACCGGGCGCGAAACGCGCCGCGGTCGAGAGAGAGGGATGAAAGCAAGTTAGCGCGCTAGGAATGGCCAACGTGTGCCCGGGCGCGAAGCGCGCCTCGGGTTCACCTTGGTGTTAGGTCCGTCTGCGCCATACGACGCGAGACATCCTGAGCAGCAGCTCGGGCATCCCAGATGTAGGTTTGAAAAGATTCTGAACTCCAGCGTCCCCACCTTTTCACCAGAGCAGCGTCCCCGAAGGCTGCCCAAGGGGCGGAGGCACCTCCAAAGCGGAGGCTGTGTGTCCCCAGCGCTCCTTCTGGATCTCCCAGCGCTTGGGCTGCTTTCTGAGTGAGAGCAGTGACGACCGTCCTGGGAGAGGCCTTCCTTCGGAGTCTCGGAAGAGGAGCTCCTCATCCTCCGGGTCGCGCATGTATCTCAGGGGGAAGCCAGAGAACAGCAAAAAGCTGGTTCCACTGCGATAGTGGTTCCTGTACTCACCTCGGTTGTAGATGTCCGTCTTGGACCCCCTGATGAAAACCGTCACCTCGTCGGCTTCGCCAATCTCCCACAGGCGGCAATGGGCTCATTCTTCGACAGGCGAAGGTCCCTGCCTCTGAGCCCCCTTGCCGGAGATACATAACCGGCATCGAGGTACTCGGACGCCCGGAGCAAGAAGAAGAACGCCAGGCTCACCGTGGCCCATTGCAATGCGGCTTCGGTGCGAGGCAAGTGCCCTGACCAGAGGTGCGCTTTGAGCCACCGAAGCATCGCTGGGGTCACGGGGCGTCGCCTTTCCTTCGTCCCGTAGCGCTTCTTCAACCCCGCAACGACAAGTGCGACTCGGGGTGAGTGCGCCGTGGGATCCGGAAGGCCTGCCGTGACGTGGTAGGCCCTTACTGCGGCGAGGCGTAATGAACCACAAAGTGTACCATCAATTCTTCTTCGAAAGCGTCATACCGCTCGACGCGGCGCCAAGGGGGCACGCCTCGCCTGGAACAAAACAATTCCCACCAACGCCATTGCGAGGCGTATGTTTAGTATGTTTTCTGGGTTGTCTCTGCGAGGCGTGCCAACATCAAGGAAAGAGTCTCGGCTTTCCATTCGTCCCGACCCTACAAGGTGGTGAGCTTTAGAGTTGTCCCGGCCGGCGTCAACTCTTTAGCCCCCAAGGAAGGGGACCCGGACAGCGGCCCCTAGGCCTTTTTGCTTCACCCGGCAAGTATCGAGGGCTCGCTCCATTTCAGTTTGGGGGGGCTCCGACGGGCGCAGCGCGAAGGGAACTGACGCTCCCGCTCGGCGCCTAGGCCTTGGACCGGGCGAGAAACTCGCCTCGGCCCTGTGCCTGGTGCATATGGAGAACGAAGTCCCTAATTGACATCCCTGAAGGAAAACTGCTAAAAGGAGGAGGAAGAGAGCGAGCAGTACGATGCTCGGGGCTCCAAGATGCTTCGACAACTGGAAATCGTTCCCTTGCGGTCGCGGGAGGTGGCAAAAGTCCCTAGCCGTGGGCGAGGTGTTTGTGGCGTTTCCTGTAATGGACAGCAGTCCAAACAGGGGCGAAGCCGCCGGCTGCGTCGCCCACGCACATGCCCGCACCGGCCCAAATGGAAGCAGTCGCCGTGTTGGGTGGCCTTCGGCAGCAGCACAGGTCAGGTGAGGAGTCTGGGTTTCCGCATCCCGTTTTCGCTGTGGGCGCGCTTTTGAATCGCAGAGCCAAAAAGGAGGTATGAGAGGCCTGTCCAGGCTCCCAGGAAGAGGGTGAGCTCGAGCCAGAAGGGGTCGAACTGTCCTTCTTCATCTGGGCTCGGCGAGTCCTCATTGTGCCCCATCCCAAAGCTGGGCAGGAGCATGAGTCCCGCGAGCCCACGGGTCATCGTACGAGGAACTGATCCAACAAGCGTAGCACCAGTTCTTGCCCTAGCCTTGCCCGGAGGCCCGGGCGCGAATCGCGCCTCGGGCCCTTTGGGGATAGCGAGGAGTGAAAGAGCGAGGAGCGCGGTCATGCTCAAGCACCAAACGCACATTGAACCCGTGTCGCAACGGGCACACGCACCCCAGAGAAGCCCGACATAACCCCAGAAGAGGAGGTTCCAAGGTCAACGCCGGTTCCTGCCCTAGCCTTTCCAGGGGGCCCGGGCGCGAATCGCGCCTCAGGCCCTTTGGGTGACCGAGGAGCGAAGGCGTGAGGAATGCGGCCACACCCAAACACCAAGCCAACATAAAGCCCGCGTCGTAGCGAGCGTACGCTCCCCAATAAACCCGATACAACCCCAGAAGAGGAGCTTCCCTCGTCTGGCGCGCACCATCTGCCAGCACGCCCCCAAGCCGCAGAGACGCCACAAACCACGGCGACCCGAACTGCACTCGTATACCCAGCTTTGAGGCCAGCGGCCCCTGTGGGGAGCGAAGCCGAAGGTCCGTGAACCAAAGAGTTCGGCACCTGCGACGTTCGGGATCGTGCGGCCACCATGGGCCAACTGCCCTCCCGCCCGTCGACCCAGGCGACACGGGCCGTCACGGTTTTTGCCTTTGCTCTTGCCCTTCTTTCCTTGTCCCATTTTCGGCGGGCCGCCTACCCTTCTGTCGTCGGGTGCTCGACGTGACCCTCCGTCGGTCCGGGCGCGAAACGCGCCGCGGACGACGTCGGGCCCCCCGGAACCGGTCTGGTTCCTGTCCTGCTGCTGCGACCCACGCGAGCACGGCGTCCTGGGCCTCCGTTTTGCAAGGCAAGCTGCAACGCGCGGGGCCCAGCTTCCTCCCAGGACAAGTCGGAGGCGGCAAAGAAGGCCTCCTGAGCTAGGATGCAGCGTGCTCCTGGTCCATTGGGCACAGCTTGCAACAGCCATAACGAGTCCCGCCTGGGAGCCTCATCCTGCTTGAGCCAGCTGTTGGCGTGTAACGCCGGGAGGGGCCACTCAGGGTCCCATAGAAGTTGGCGCTCGGAAGCCGGACAGCTCCAAGCAAGAGGAGGCTTGAACTTAGACGCAAGCCGTCGTACTGCCAGGCTTCAGGCGCAGGAACCTTTAACCACGAGTACCTACATGGAGGGGTGGAAGGCTCGAGGTCGGCCGAGGGGAACCCGGGGTCAGGGCCCCTGGTTCTGCGGCGGGCGGCAGTCCACCTCCGCCACCAGACTTGGTCGCGTAGGGTTCGTCCACTGCACTGTTGCATGGCGACCACGGCTCAGTGCGTCGACCCAGATGCCCGTGGCCGGGGCGCGAAACGCGCCTCGGGCCAGGGCAACTGGGTCAACCCTGTTTGGAACAAGGCTGCAAACAACTATGTCCACTCCTCTCCGGCCATCCCAGAGGGGGACCGGCGCCGTGCTTCGAACGTCCTCTCCGCCGAGAAAAACGGCGGCTCCACGCGCTGCGAAAGCCAGCGAGTACCGGGCCATGGCGGGTTCCCACTCGAGGACAGTCAGGTTAAGCAGCGTGGGCGTCGGAGGGTCAAGTTGTCGCGCCATGGGCGTGCCCGCCCGGCCGCCCGGTGGGCGGAAAGCTGTAGTGCGGAGTCCCGCCCCGCGTCCCTTTGCGCTCCCCACAGGAACACACGCTTGAGCCAACCACGGTTTAACAACTCCAAAACGAAACGGTCGACCCCTTTAACCTCGCTAAGGCCCTGGGCGCGCATAACGGGGGTAGGGTCTTCACGGGTTAGGGCGTCGGCAGTGACATTATGATAAGTGCGGACGCGTGCGAAGTAAACTCGAAAACCATACACACTTTCAAGAATGGTGAGGAGCTGGAGAAGAAAACATGGCACCTCACGATGAGTGTGCCGTTTTTCGAGCCAAACGCCAACCGTTTGGTTGTCCCCCGCGTATGCGACAAGACGCCCCCGCCACTCAGGGCCTCGGGCGGCAGCCAAAGCCACAACGGCAAGAAGCTCGGTAACGGAGACAATGAATTCTTCCGGAGGGCTGGGCTCGAAAGACGACGCCTCCGCCTCTCCTTGTGATGCTCCGAAGACGAACTGGCGCAGCGGGTCGCGGAAAACATCGACTGGGAGGGAGAATGCTTGGCGGGACGTCCAGTCAATCGCTGCCACGCAGTCCAAAGTGGCATCGCCAGAGGCCCAGACAACCTTCCCCTTATACCCTGGGAGAGCGAGCAATTCGCGCAAGGTGAGCGCGGACACCATAGGGCGCGTGAAGGTCGTGGCCCATTCCTCCCGGACACCCACGAGGTATTTGTGAGTTGCTCCCCGATCCCGTTTCGAGTGATTGACCGAATGATTGACCGTCGGCGGGCGCGCGGTAACCGCCGGCCCGGGCTCCTCCCCCCCCCCCTGCACGGCAGGGCTCCCTGCCCCATCTTCGAGGCTGCCCGAATCGAGGAAGCAAAAAGGGGGGCCAAAGCCCGTGCAACGAGGGGTTGATGACAAATGGAACTGAGGACGGAAGGCAAAGTAGAGGCAGCTGCTGCCGCACAACAAGCACTGTCCGGACCGGTCAGCCGGGGGGACGGGATCAAAGGTGAGAGTTGATCCCAAGCCCATACACCCAGAGGACCAAGCGCAGTGAACGAAGAGCGCGCACGCAGACTCGCGAAGAGATCGCAGGGCGCCGCGGGGGAAGCCCGGGTCACCCCGGAAGTCGACCCAAACGTGCGCGGGACCCTGACAGTCGGGCCAACAGGCTCCCTCAAACCAGACGGCAGTGATCGCCAAAAGACTCAGCGCACGCACATAGATGCGAGCGCCCGCCCCATAGCACCAAACGGAGGGTGGTGGGCCGCCGACCCGCAAGGGAAGGGAGTTGACGGTCCGGCCCGTTTGTCGGAACAGCGGGCGCAGGCCAAGGATGCTGGACCCACGGCCGGTACGCCGCGCCGGGTCCGCCGGATGGCAGTGAACCTGCAGCGCAGCACGTCCCGGGCTTGTACCAAGCCTCAGGAATGCCCACCGCATGGAGCAACTCGGCCCAGCCCACGACCCTGGTTGGCACGGGCAGAGGCTGTGCTGTTGGCGGGAGTAAGAAACGCATGTGCCCCTGGTGGATGACCAACCAAATGGGGGGTGAGTCCAACAAGGTGTCGGCCCCGCGGACCTCCTCAAGCGTGACTCGCCCCCGCACGTCGATGCGCACGAAAATCAGTCGATGCGAACTGAAGAAGGAGCAAGGGAACGCGGCTAGGCAGCCATAGTCCTTATCGTGCCCCCAAAACCGAAGGTCGTGGGCATAAATTCGAAGGTCTGCCTCTGGAAAGCTCGGCAGGCACGGGCCCGAGGGATGTCTTCACACCCTTAGAGGTTTGGCGGGCGGCGTTATTGCAGCCCCCAACGGCGCAAGCCCGCCTAGCTTTGGACGCCTCGTACATGTCGCGGTGCCTCTGGCAGGAGCGACAGTAGTAACCATCATCCTCACATGTGAGTTCCTCTTTGCAACTCGTCCTTTCATCTGGTTGCAAGAGTCTTACTGGGTTACCCGAGCTGCGATCCTTGCAGGGACCAAGCGCCAAGGCGGCCGCCAAGGGCCCGGTTTCTACCGGGCCGCCCAACGCGAGCCTGACAAGGATGGTCGCCATCCTCCGCTTCGGACTCGGTCTCTGAAGCCTCGTGGAGTTCTCTCCTTGGAGAGGTCAGATCCGAGCCCGGGCGTGTAGCACGCCGCGGGCAGCACCACCGTGGGCGGCAGAATATTTTCCGCAACCCAAAACAGGCGTGCGAGCAACAGCGTCTACAAGCGCCGCAAGTAAGGCGCCCCCAAAAGGAGGTAGCTGTCCAGCATCTGCCCAGAGGGCCCTTTCCCGCAGTTTCCTGCAAGTCGACCTCTGCGGAACGTGGGGCGACCGCGCTTAGCGCGACGTGAACCTCGAATCTGATTCCTCCAGTACCGATGGCTGCTAGAATGGACAGTATTACACCCATGTCTGTCGGTCCGCCCACGGAGGGCGCCATGGCGCAAGCGCGCTACTGCGACCCCGTCCGAAAAGAGATCCTTGGGCTCACGGTTTTCGATGCGACCGCGGACCTCCTGTTGCACGTACTGGGCAGACCAAGGTGTTGACGCCCCGGGTCCTGTCCATTTAGGCCTGAATGAAGTCAAGCCGTGGAGGCGGACGACTTCGTGCCATGGACCCTGTCCCGTCAAATATCGGTACAGCGCATGAACCTGGCGATCACCCAGGAAACTGTCCACACAGCCAATTGAAGGCACATAATGCCGGCCACAGCAACGGCTAGCCAGTAGGCCCACTTGGCCGCATACCCGACTGAAAGTTGAGCCAAACCGCAATGAACCAGGGTCCGGAGTTCTCCGCCCTTTGGGAGTATGTCCTGTTGGACATTCCGGACGGGTGGGTCTCGAAGTTCCAAAATGCGTAGGTCCAATCCCGCGCGTAGCCCCAAGGCCAGTCCCAACCCAGGGGCGAATCTACGCCACGGGCCTCTTCGGGGAGAATCTCGGGAACGGGTGGCTCCGGTGTATCCCATCCCCACAGAATCCAAGACCAAGCTTGCGATTCTGGTGATGTAACGTTTGCCGCCATGACCAATGCAACTTGGAAAGCAAAACGCATGGTAGACGGCCCCGGGGTTCCTGTACACTGTACGCCTACCAAACCTACGGGAGTCTAACGACAAAACGGCCACGCACACAACTCAGAACCCTACGCACGCAAGCTGTACGCGCGAAACAAAAAGCTCAACCGGCCCCATTTGGACAAAAAAAGGAAAGCCCAGAAAGTTGAACTCTCCTATTGGCTTACAAAGGTTACTGTGATGTTCACAGCTGTGCTCAGGCCGGGTCTATCCTGCAGACACACTCCTGCCTCAAACATGGGCTCCCACTTGCAAGCGCATTTTCCTTGCAGCCCGATGCGTTCTCGACGTTTAAGCTGCAATTGGAGATGTAGGAAAAGCGTCTGGGCAAACTCCGGGTCGCCGTATCACTGCAGTTTCGCGTATCCACTGGAAGCGCCTCAAGGTGGTCCAAGACCAACCTGCGCCACACTTGGAAGGCACACGAAAGCTAGCTTCAGCATGCTACTACTGACACTGGTGATGATGTTGATGATGACCAATGATGATGATGGGGACGATGCCAATGAGGATGATTATGACGGTGATTATGATGGTTATGATGATGATGATGATGATGATGACGACAATGATGACGATGATGGATTGATGGCAATCATGAAACGGATGACGGATGCAGGATCATGGAAAAGTGATGGACGATGGACGAAGGTGATGATGATGGTGGTGGTGCTGGTTGTGAGATGGTGGTGATGGTGATGTTGGTAATGATGGTGATGAACAAAGATGATCACAAATGATGATGATGGCCAATACTACTAATCTCAAACATGATAACAATAACAATGACGATGGTGATAAATGGGTGATGGTGAACAGGGTGATGATGATGGCTCCTGTTCCTTTGAACCAATCGAAGTCGACCCCCCCTCAAACTTGTGAATCTTTTGAACAACTAAATCTTTTGAAGAACTACTCAATATTTCGCTGCTTTTCAGACGTGGTCTAGGCTACTGCTAAAGCAAGTCTGAACTCAAGCCTAGCTTGCATTAGCTTTCGTGATTTCGGGAAAAAATCCGCTATCCCATCTCCAATGCCTCCAGCTCAAGTCTTACTGAACACAGAAGTTGCGGTCCAACAAGGGCCCAGCCACCGTAGCGCGTCCTCTCCCTGGGCGCCGTGGTGATGCTAATGCCATCTCATGCCCATGCTGATCTTCCAGGCAAGCAAGGCCCGACTGCAGACACCGCGCCCCAAATTCAAGCAGCTTTTCGATCATAGTGTCTCCAAGTCCCCAACTCCAACTTGCAGAAATGGAAGTAGTCGAGTGAAGATTCGTCGTCCCAACCCTTCCACCACCCCGATGGGTGTCCCGGTCTGTGATGCCACAGGCACCTCAAAGACGCCCTGGCCCAACGCAAGAAGCCCTTGACTCCCCCAATGACGTGAGACCTGTAACCTTTTGGAGCTCTTAAAATGCGAAGCGCTCCAAATTGCAAGACGTGCCAAGTACCAGCGCAGCCCCAAGCAAAGGAAGGTCCATGAACCCTGCTATTGCTCGGGCGAGAGACTTCTGAGAACAACAAGCGGCATCCAAGTGCACCGTCACACTTTTAAACTTTGTAATGAGAGGATTTAGGGTTTAGGGCGCAGGGTGTCGGCATTGCCACACATTGGCAAGTGAGTGCAGCAATCGATTAGTACTCCGTCAGGAATCCGGTCCGCATGCGGGTTAACGTATTTCGTTCTATAAATATGATGGCGAGCTATCAGGAACAATAGTTAAGCGCTGTTCAGGCTGCAGCCCTTGCAACAAGAAGCCTGCTGCTCAACACATGGCCCACAGTATGTTTTGCTCGGGAAAGCTCCCACGCGTGATTCTATCGCCACCCTCAGAAACTCTGTTGCAGGAGGAACCAGGGTTGAAGGTTTGGGGTAGACCGTGGGATGTAATTACGCCGAGGGTGGACGCATGGATTTTGAGAGATTTAGGGTCTCTGCTTGCATTGTCGCCTCAGATGTGAAATCCTAAACCACAAACCTCCAATCAAACCCAAGGATTATTTTCAAGCTTCAACATTCCCACAGCATCTGGGCCGGCATCAAGCAAAGGGTGCAAGAACTTCTGAACAGCAAGTGCAAGCGCTGTTTTGGGGCTACATCCTACGGGTCCAAATTGCCAACCCACCATAAAGTCCCCTGAACTCTAATCTGCTACTGCCTATCCTAAACCCTGATACCTGATTATTAGGTCCTTTGAACCTTTTGGGGAGAGAACAAACCCCAACCACCGCAAGTTTTCGGCTACAACATGCCTGCGACACAGTGGCAAGACCGACACCCCGTAATCGTTGTCCCCCTTCCCCAAAAGAAGGCCTTGACTTGGGTTTCGGCAACGGGCTTGAGATGGTTGGATGCTTTTGATGCGGTTTTGGGCCAGCATGGGCCAGCTAGCAGTCGGGTGCGAGCTTGCCGATCAATTGCCAGTGCTTCGGCTTGAACGAGGCAACGTCTGCAGTACAGATGTCCTTGCCGCCAGAGGTGGGCCTCTTGGCCCCTGTGCGCGAAAACCACTTCTCAGTCTCGCTTTGGAACAAGCCAGCGAATCTTTCACACTTGACCGGGATCTGCTTCGCCACCTGGATGACAGCAGGGACAACTGAAGTCATGATCTCAGGGTGTTTGGACATGTAGTCGTCACTCCAAAATCCGATGGGCCAGGGCTTGCAGCCCGAAGTGTTTACTCGCAGTGCCTGTTTGATCTCGTAGAAGTCGCGCGCCAATCGAACTACATCAATTGCTGCATGAGGTGGGGACTTGTTCCGAAGCTTCGTACTACGACCATTGACAGAGTTTCTGCACTGCAACCACTTCTTACCTGTCAGGCCAAGACTAGCGTTGCAGATCAAGAACGCTGCTCCACTGCAGTTGAGCTCCTTCAGATAGTCGTAGGAAACCGGTATCACTCTGGCAAACAGTCTCAGTCTGTTGAGCTGCTGCAGCTGTACGTCGCTGTCTCCTTTGCGGCCAGGTTGTGGCTTTTGGCAGGGCTTCGAAAGCCTTCCAACGTGCCACATAATTATAGTGATTATAACCTTTACTTTATGTTCGGAAGAACTTGGTTCAAGATAAGCACGATCGCAAGGGCTGTTTTCACATGCAAAGCAACCGGACAGGACAAGCTTGTTGGACCCCGGAAATCTCGCGCAGGCCCCTGGTTTAGAGTTCGGTGTACCTGAACCCTTATCACAACAGCTGTGCCCTCGAACAAAATCTGCTGACCCCCCAAATCCCGACACACTATGACCCTGGCAGCCTTGCGCCCTGCGCCCAAGTCTCCATGCTTATCGACGGGAACGCTCACGTGTTCGGCCAAGTACGATGAAAAACTCTGGGGAGAACCTGGTGGGCAAGAAATTGGTTTGGGCCTTACAAAGTTTAAGGAATATATACTCTTACCACAATCATGCGCAAGCAAAGCAAGTCACTGTCGTGCTTGGAGATTTCTGACCAGCATGCTGCGTTCCAGGTCGCGGAACTCCGATGAAATATCACCGCAGTTTGGCAGGTGTCGGCCCCGATTTCGGAATTGAAGCCTTGACATCTGCTCCTCTTAAAGTTAAACTTTTGGCTGCCTTATGATTCGTAGCATCGAAACCCAGAAAAAACACAGTCCCAAAAATTAATCAACACACAACTAGGAAGCACAGCCAGGACTTGTTATCGAAGAGTCGGCCGAAGGCTTCACTGGACAAGAGAACCAGCTGAGATGAATTCAGTTTGGACTGGAGGTAGCTGAACCCTTCTTTCAGCCTCTGCTTTACCTGGGTTTCGTCACAATATAGGGTTTACGGTTTACGGTACCTCGTTCGGGGGTCCAACCCAAAAGCCTTAAACAGTAAACCTTGCTTCGGGGTCCGTATACTAAGAACCCTACTCTGTTGGGGTCCCTTGTTTGTGTTCAAATTCCCACCTGCTCGTCTGACAGCCCCCAGGATTTTATCTTGGCTGTGTTCCCATTACCTGGGCTCAGAAGTAAAGGTTTAGGGTTTTTAGGTATTAGGGTTTAGGGGTTTAGGGCACAAAACCCTTCCCTGCGAGGAACAATGTCCAACATAGAGAAGGCTTCCTTCAGAAATGATGTGGCCTTTTGTGCCAAAAGCAAGCGTTTTGTAGCATATCTCTCTAATGAACCACCAATAATCTATGTACAATTATTTTGTAATGTCTCATCTGAGTCAGTATTTTCGCTAGAGAACGGTTGTCCCGAAATAATTTTCGAGCCGCGCTTCAGACCTCGCATCACAATCACACCATCCATCCATGCATCATCCATGCATCATCCATGCATCATCCATCACGACATCCATCACGACATCCATCCACGCATCAACGATAACGAAGAACCTTCACGAAGACCACCCGCCATCCATCAAAGGCCGTTCATGTTTAAACCCTTTGTGGCAAAAGTGACCGTGAAACATCCAACTAGCGGTCTTGTTGTTGGAGAACCCAGTAAACGTGAACAGTCTTTAACGTAAACATCATGACTTCCACCACCAACATCTAACCGTAAAAGGTTAACATGACAAATTGGTGTAACGACTTTTTTCTGTCTGCTCGTATGTTGTTGCTTTTGCTATCAGCTGTATAAACATTAACTGGAAAGGTATTGTCCTCAATGTTGAATGTCTTCAAGTGAAGCGGGCAAATCAAAACCATCCCATGTTTTTCAGGTTTTCGTTGTCTATCAACTTTGCACAATGATAAAGTCTTTCTGGGTGGTCTTTTTTGCAAATGTCAAAAAATACACACTATACAACGTTTTAAATAAAAGTCATCATCATCCATAATATGAATACGTACCTTTTTCCTTGATATCCATTCGGGTAGTTCTATAAAATCGCCCACCCTTGTTGAGTCGTACTTGTCATAGTGTATTGATATTCTATAAAATCGCCCACCCTTGTTGGGTCGTACTTGTCATAGTGTATTGATATTCTAATCACTTTCTGTATTTTAAACGCTGTTTTAGTTAGGTTCTTGTTTTCGACCAAGAGATCAATATCACTTGCCATATTGTTTATTGCATTGTTTAAATCTTCTCGTTTAAGAGATTGTACCTTCTACTTCCTATGGTATGTGCTCTATCTTCATCTACATCATGTTCATCATCAGCAAGATTGGTAAATATCAACTGTTCTTAAAACTTTCATGCGCTTGCGCTTCTTCAAGTTATCGTTTAAGCGTTCTCCTTGCTGTTTGAGGTGTGGTAAACCCTTAAAACCTGAAAAGGTTGATGTTGGTAATGGAACAAAACATGCGCATAGGATTTTTATGGCTGATTGTTGATTTGTTTTTTATGCCTTGTTTTAATAGCCTAGCTTTACAAACTTGACGCACCATAATCTGTTTAGAAGCGTCGTTTAAACTCTGGGGTTTTAGACATTTTGTCAAGCTTCTTTGATAAGGCTCTGTGAAAGGTTTTGATTGATGATATGGATCTTCTTTATGTTGAAGAATAGCTTTCTTCAGTTGCTGACCCTTATTGTTAACTTTAACCTCACATATTTTTGAAGATACGACGTATTTCATCGCTGAATGCTTTAACGACTTTTCCATGTGATAATATAATAAAGTCTGGATTTGGGGGGTCACGAAGTTTCGTGAGGCTCTGCATCGCGCTGGCCTTTAAGGGCGCCGCTGTAAAACACAGCTTTTACAATATAGATTATTAGGAGTACCATAAACTTTTTTGATAAATTTGTTTTCATCGTGTTCTTCTCCTTTTGCGCACGTTCCTGGCTAGAAGTATGTATGCTTTTCTTCTTTTTGCCTTCTTAATGTTGTCCTGCGTTGCTTTTGCAGTGCGTTTATTTCGTCCAAGCATTTCAAAGGTTTCTTGCAAAATTTACAACCAGGGGGATATGTACATGTGGCCGAGACCTTTAGGGTCTATTTGGCCATTTCCTTTATACTTAAGTACACAAACCACCACTCGCAGGCTCTGTCAACGTCTTAATCTACAAGAACACAAAACTCGAATCGCCATGCATATGTCGCGTCAGACATCATCGACTGTCCTGAAAGCTTCTGGACAAAAGGACCGGACAGGCTCGTTAGACATCGTGACCCACAACCATAAGAAACTTGAATCACAGACATCGTCGAATGTTCTGAATGCTTTCAGATAACTTGCCTACAAACGAACAACAACAACAACTGCGGGCCCGGCTATATTCGGCCAGGCATTTTGGAAATAAAGTCTCTAGGAGTAGACCGGGCGAGGAGAAATTGTTCCGGGCGAGGAGAAGAGTTGAGTTTAAAATCTAACAACCCCACGCCGAAGGTGAGGAAAAACCTGGACCCAGGATCGAGAGGCCTAGAAAAAACCCTCGATCCCGAACTTGGGTCACTTCAAAAAGGCCGACACACAGAAAAGTAGTCAACCATCGTCATGCGCAACCTGGCAACATGGAAGCATAGTGCTGCAGAGCCGAGTCGCAAACGTAGGTAAGGGGGTGCGCAATGTTCTTCCCAACTGCCTTTTCTCTACCATGGAAACCCACGCTAACGCCCCACTGATCCTGAAGCCAGCCTGCATTCTTCACAAGGAATTCTTGAAGGGCAGTCGTTCCCGTCTTTGGCGGCCCAACATGAAGAATCAACTTGGGGCCCTTGCAAGGCATTTGTGAAGTTGACGCCTGGCTCACAAAGGAAGTGTGCCCCCGTCCCCTCTGCTCACGCTTGTCTGCGCCGTCTATACCTTAGCTTCTTGTTATGACTTTGCTGTCCCTGCAAATCAAAGAAAGCTTTACTAATCACTGCACCCGATAGCCGAAACCCCAAGCCCTAAACCCTCAATTATCAAACCTGATAGAAATCCTTAACAGACCCTTAAAGGAGCCCTCTACCCTAAGCACTAAAAGCCAAACTAGGCTGGTGGTCAACTTGTATGGGAAAGGGCTTTTAAAAGGACAACCCTGCACACGAAGACCTTGGAAAACCACTGAAAAAGACCTCTCAGATGGAGCCCCTCATGAAGGAACCCGATTTAAAGAACCCTATTCAAAGGAACCCCATCCCCATTTAAAGGAACCCTTTAAAAGGGCCAGCTTCGACCAAGAGTGGGAGCCAGCTTCGCGAGTGGCAAGAGAACACAGAGCATGACGATGAAGGCCAGGGCCAGCGCATACACGTGAAAGCTCATCTCCACCAAACCATGGGGGGGGGTTCGGGTTTTCAGGTTTCAGGGTTTAGGATTTAGGGTTTGGGGTTGGGGTTTAGGGTTTAGGGTTGAACTTTAGAGCCTTAAGTCCTGTAAGGGTTCCATCAAGGGTTTCTATTTCTATACGGGCTCTGAAAAAGGGCTTCTTAAACCCTAAACTTAAATATAGAGGTTTGAGATTTGGGTGATCAGGCTTCTGGAACATCAGGGTTTAAGTTAACTTACTAAAGTTTTAAAGGTTTCTGCTAAGTTTCTGTTCAGGATTCCTGAAACTGCTCCTTCCTTTAAGGGTTCCATGATGGGATTTAGGGTTAAGACTTACGGCTTAGGGCTTCCTAGCCGAAATTTGGTGATTGCCACCGTATTGGCTACGTAATTGTAATTGTCTAAATACGGGGTTTGCAAGTTGTGTAAGCTATATATGGGTAGAAACCGACTACCCTCAACCCGAAACCGCCTCAGTACCTGGGCTTCTAGGGTTTAAGGTTTAGGGCCCAGGGTATCGGCCCACCGAATGCTGCTTGAGGGCATGGCCAGGCGCGTGGCAGGTGAGTGCAGCTATCGATTATTACTCCGTCAAGAATTCGGTCCACCTGCGGGGCGTGCTATAAATCAGATGCCGAGCTATCAGGAGCAATATTAAACGCGCTGGTCAGGCTACAGCACTTGCAAAAAGAAGCCCGCTGCTCACCACATGGCCCACAGTGTGTTTTGCTCGAAAAAGTTCCCACGCGTGATTCTATCGCCACCCTGAGAAACTCTGTTGCAGGAGGAACCAGGGTTGAAGGTTTGGGGTAGACCGTGGGATCTAGTTACGCCGAGGGTGGATGCATGGATTCTGAGAGATTTTGGGCTTTGGCTTCAGCGGTCGTCCGTTTAGGGCTTATGGGCCTTTCATTGTGGAATGAAGAGGCGTGGTTGGGCGTTGAGATAGGATTGCCAGTTTGTGGTTATAAACAGGGTTGGGGGTTCCTTGCCCTAAAGGTCCAAGTGCTCGAGAAGTATGTCTTCAACGGCCTCTCATGTCGGTTCTTATGGGTCCCAACACATCTTCTTTGAGACCTAAACCTTGATCAACCGAACTCCAAAATCTGAAATTCTGGTTCACCCTTTACTTGCCGGTCCTTGGTAGCCAATGAGGGAATTAAGTCTTGCAGCGGGAGTATTGCTTCAGAATTCCTTGCTTAAGAAATCGAGGGGCTGAATTTTCCTGCGCATTGGATGTTTTACCCCTTTGCTGGGCCCCTTTGACTTAAGAATTTGAGCCCCCCTCTCACACTTGAAAGGCACATTCGTAACTGAGTGCCTTTCTCAAGGGAGCTGAAAAGCTGAGAAAACCTCCAAATGAAGATTTTGCTCTTAGCTTCTTCTATAGGGCTTTACCAGCAAGCCCCAAGCGAAAAACTCCGAATTAAGAAACTGAGCCTCTCAGATTCAAAGCTTGTATGGGCTTTACACAAGTTTCTACCCTCGAAACCTCCGAATTAAGAGTCTGAGTCCCTCAGATAGCCAACGTTGAAAACGTCCGAATGGTTCTTGGCTTGTATAGAATGGCGAGGTCCATGGCTTCATTGTCGGACATGGCGCCACCAAGTATGTTTTGGTCTAATGGCTAGAGCGAGCTCTCTAAGTCCTCAGGTCGTTGGCTCGAGTGCTAAGACTGCTAAGAATCTGAGCTCCCTGGAGCAAAATCACAGAAGCAAAGTCACGAATCTGCAGGAACCTGGAAAGTTCAGAATCTGAGCCCTGACCTAACCCGGCGCATGGTATATCCCAGTATGGTGCCCCCACGGGATTTCAATGGTGCCCAACTCCCTCACTCCCCACTAAGGACCAGCAAGGTTAGGGGTTGGTGCCCCTGCGGATTTGTTGTTTTGTGTGTACCGGTGAAAAGGCCAGGCCTTAGATGGAGCGTCAGAGAACGAGGGGCCCTGATCAAGATAGGTCCTAGATCTAAACACCCTCTGCAGATGGACCAAACCCCCCAGAGTCCCGGTTTTGCGAAGTTCGCTTCTGGGACCCTCTCCGACCTCAGCAAACCATGGGGCCCGACCTCCAGAGGGCGTGGGGATCCGGATAAGGGTTTCTGAGATAAGGGGTTGCAATTCTCCTGGCGGGTCTCGACACAAGCTTTGGGGTGTGGGGACTTCTTAGAGTTGGGGGAATTTAGAGTCGGTGCCGGGTTAAAGCTAGGGAAGGCATCGAATAATAATAGTGAACAGCATGAGAGGAAACACAACCACAACGAAAGCAACAAGATACTGCCACCAGTAACTTGGTTTCCACAATACAGCCACTGGCAGAAGCATCAAGAGGCAAAGATCACACAACATCAGGATCCAGGATGTAGAGTCCCAGAATATGAAGGGCACCGAATTTTGACCCGGAGCTTTATGATCCTTTCTAGCACGTAGTTACCTGTGCCTCTGCATGGTCCCCACGCGAGAAACAGCCGAGCTGTGAGATGGCTTTTTCCCTTCAACGCATCTCCGGGAATTGCCAGCCCAAGGGAAGGGTTTCGGTGCTTGCTTCTCTTTCATTTCGGATCTCCTGATCCAAGGTCCGGAAGGGTGCAGGGGTTTAGGTTCTAGGTCTAGGCTTCAGCATGTGCATGGCATCACTTGCAATCAGGCAAGAGTGCATTGATCACTCGCCAGTGTGGTGCTTTCAACTTCCTGCGATCAACGCGGCACTGAAGCTTGGGTTGCGAGCTCGGCCTCTGCGCACCCGTACGCGAAAACCAGTCATCTGTCTCTGACACGAATAATCCAAAATGACTCTGGCAGTCTTTCGGCAGCAGCTTTGCGACATCGATCACTGCTTCGGCACTGGGAACCAGATCTACCGGTGCATTCTTGGCAAACTTGGCCCAGGGAACAACACATTCGCTCGCCTTCAAAACCTGCCTTACTTGCCCATTGCCCAGCAAGATAGGAATCTGAACTCTCGGAACAGTACTAACTCCAAACTTTCAATCCTGACGACTAATTTACAATTTAAACACCAAATCCTAAACACTAACTCACAGTAAGATCCCCAAACACCAGAGCCTAATCCGAAACAATAACTTACAAAAACTCTAAACACTTCACCCAAATTCTAACCCCTAACTGTCAAGAACGAAACCCCCAAATCGACATCCCCACAAGTTCAACAGTTGAGCATCAATGGTATTGGAGAACGAAGAAACCCAGGGACGTGTAAAGGTTCTTTCAACACTGCAAACACCCGATGCTCACTATAAGCAAACGCATCCGTATGACACTCGGACAACTAAGCTGCTTTGCTTGGTAGAGCTCCCGGGCAAGGTCGACTACGTCGACGGCCGCGTGTGGAGGAGACTCATTGTGCCTTGAACGTCCGAGCCATTCAGCTGTATGTAGGGCTTAGGGATGTAGCTGTAAACCGCTTATATAGGTTTTAAGTCTGGGCTTCGGGTTGTGAAGGTCTGCTGTAACTGCTACCAATTTAAACATCTTATTCTGAGTGGCTACTGCATGAACTAGGTTGATTACAATTTTTGCATTCGTCTATTTACTTCCAATTTCAGACATACAGCTGTGGTCACTGTTGGCCAACTGGCGTCCTGTTTTCTTTCGGGTCCATCATCTCCGTTAGGGTCCCGAAGCTGAGCACCCGGAAACTAGGACAAGAGGCGAGACGGATGTCTTGCGGTTGACCTTGCTCTTGCACTTTGTCCAGGAGGGGCCTGACCTACGAAGAGTGACATTGCAAACGATATAGGCCGCCATGCTGCAATTCACCTCTTGCCTGAGCGGCTCATGGAAAATCTAATCTTTGTTCCTGCTCGAGGATATAACATACAAAAAGTCAATATCTCTTCCTTCAAACGACTTAGTTGCAGATAGTCGTAGGACACCGCCTCCACAGCTTCGGGAAAGGCATCTTCCAGCCCGTTCAGGAGCTGCAACTGTGGGTCGGTGTCTCCGTGAGCGTCTCCCTGTCGTTTGCCTGCACGAGCTACCTGTAACACGGTAACCGAAAACACCGATAGCCTTTAAAAGGAAATAATCCATGCTTTTGATTAGTAAGGGGGGGGGGATCCCCCCGTGCCTTGGACGCTTAACGTCTATTCTGCGCGTGCTCTTTGTTTTCTTGGATTCCGAATTCTTCCCGAAAACCTCTCTGGGATTGGGTTCTCTTTGCGGAAGGCGTTCTATCGGATCGCTTTCTGACGAAAGAGGCCACGAAGGGGAGACGGTCAACGGAGGAGGGTCGGACGGAATGAATTCTGATGGGAGGCTACGGAGACGACGCGGTCGAGGGGGGGGGGGGGTGGAACATCTTGTTGAGATGGGCGTGGAGCGTGACATTCGGTTGATGGGCAGGCGAGAAGGGGTGGTCACCTTCCGCGTCCGCCGCGCCCTGCGCTCCCTCCGCGCCCTCCGGGCCCTCCGCGCCCTCCGGGCCCTCCGCGCCCTCCAGGCCCTCCGCGTTCCGCGCCCTCCATGCGTTCCGCGCTTTCGCGCGTTCCTCACGCTCCGCAACTCTGCGCCCTCCCTCCCTCCGTGCCCTCCCTCCGCGCCCTCCCTGCGCCCTCCCTCTGAACGCTCCGCGCTCCGCGCGCTCTGCGCCCTTCGCGCCCTCCACGCCCTCCGCGCCCTCCGCGCCCTCCGCTCCCTCCGTGCCCTCCACGCCCTCCGCGCCCTCTGCGCCCTCTGCACCCTGCGCGCCCTCCGCGCCCTCCACGCCCTCCGCGCCCTCCGCGCCTTCCGCGCCCTCCACGCCCCCGCTCAGGACACATTGTGTTGATGCTATTAAGGGTGCATTGCGCCTATTCTGCAAGCGTTTCCTTTGTAAAGTAGTTTTTACAAGGCACGCACGTGCAGCATAGGCTCTAAGCGTCCATCTAACGGGATCCCCCCCCCCCCGAAGACTTGATGCCCATCCATCCGAGTCCGAGATCATTCAAAAGTTAGCAGTGAAAATCTCCATTTTCATTTCGCCACCGTCCGATGCCTCCCCCGTCATTTTTTACTCCTACATGCTTGCTACTCATTCGTTTCATGCATTGAGCCAGTCACAGTATTTTCAACATCTTTTGCAGTATTTTGAGGGCACCTAAACATTTAAACCCAAACCCCACCCAATAATCCGAACCCAGATGTTAAAAACGAAAATGGAAGTGGGCTTCACAAGTGACATTTCACGAAAGAAAACAACTTTCTACTCATTGTGCCACAACAATTCAACAAGCATAACAACCCCATTTTTAACATTTAAACACCTGATTTTTAAAGCCTGTAAGTTTTGCTCCCCTTCGTTTCAAACATTGACCCACCGAAAGTCCCACAGGACGACCCCAACTTAAGACCCACCTGAAGAACTCATACTATGGAACCATGCCCAACCTCATCGAAAATAGCATACTCGAAACCCATGGACCAACACTCCCATAGAAAAACCAATGACATCCAACCCGAAACCCGAACCCTAGAAAATGGAAATGGTCCATTCTAACAGTTTATCTATCATAGGACTAGGGTTTAGGAATAAGGTGGGAAACAATCACCTACGAAATAATATTACGGTTGTGTATTGTTCGTGCAATTTCGCCTGTTCGCCTTGAGGTGCTCTATCTAACACTAAATTGGCTGTTCACCTAATCGGGGGGTTCCTTCCCAGTGGTGAACAGACGAATCTTGCACGCAAGGTCTGTCGACAACGGGACTCTCTTCAGGAGATTCCCTATTGCGTAGCGGAACAAAGAATCGGCGAATGCGAAGGGGCCTGTCTCGGTAGCGCCGAGTCCAAAGCTGAAAGCAAGACTGCACAATGCTTTTGAGGAATCACGCCCTTTATCATGAAGCAATGCTTTGGGGCTCTGAGATCTTCGTTTCACACCTATGCAGCGAACCGTCATCTCAGAATTGATCGGAAAATTCTTGGCTCAAGGAAAAGCTGGCCGAAACCTGAGTGACAGTGATCCTCGGGTGTAGTAGTTATATGGTTTAAGTACAACAACTAAACCCCAAAACCTAAACCCCCCCTCCCAACCCAAGAATGTCTCTGAGTCTCTTGCCTGCGAAATCTGACACCCAGGACATCCAGCTCAATGGTTCCGATGTTTGCTTGCTCATCTCCAACCTGGGTACCAGTGATGCTGTCGCTGATTCTGGTGCTATCGCTCTTCTCTCACATTCGTCCCTTTGTCATTGTCGCTGTCACTGCTATTGTCGTTGTTGTTCCTGTTGCTGCTAGCGTTTCAATGGTTGCTGGGCTGCTGCCCTAACTGGTGCTGTTTATCATGTTGTTGAGATTGCCGCACATTGCTCCACTTGTTTAGCAAGGTACATCAAGCGCAGCCATGACCTGCAACATGCTCGGACGAAAGGCAAACACCTCTTCCAGGTGCCAACCCGCAAAAAGCACACAAGAGTAATGGCACAAAGAAAACATACACATCTGCAACATGTGAAAGTTTTCTGGCTGCGCTGATTGCTAGTATTCACAAGTCGACAACCAGAATTTCAAAAGCAGCGCACAAAAACGTTCCTAACGAGTCCTGTCTTAAAATATACACTCAGCAAAGTACTAGCATAAACACAACCTGACATAATTCTGAAAGCCACTCAAAGGCCATAAAACTATGCAAGTCGCCTCACCCTAAACCCTAAACCCAGACTTCAAACCCTACAGCCCAAGAACACCCTGAAGCCCTAAACCCCAAAAACCCAACCCCTTCACGTCCTTTCTTCTTCGAGGACCGCTGCTCGACCGATCTTCCAAAAAGACCTTTAGTATTGGGGCCGTAATAATTAGAATAGGGTTCCCGAAAAGGTATCCCATAAGGGTGTTATATGTTTCTTGGGGTTACAGTATAGGGGCCTGACGCCTGAGTAATGAGGATTGGGTTCCTCAAAGGTTCTCATTTGTTATCAATTTTTAGAACAGGGTTCGGCGTAGATTATAGCATAATTGAGTTCAGGAATCCTAAGGGACAATGCTACAAATTACTTGGGCTTCTATATTTGGCCCAGAAGCCACCAGGAAGTCAGCCACGTGATTGCCTCCCTGTGAGCCACGACAGCAGTACGACAGGAATCGTCCACATTCAGGCGCGAAAATAAATACTTCCAGTGCTTATCTCGGAAACAGCTGAAATCCTTGGTGTGGTGCGTAGATCTTTCAACGCTGCTCTGCGCTTTGCTATCGCTTAGGAGTTCATTTTCGCTTTTACCACTGGCCAAGATCCAACACCAAAGCAAGAGGCACAACTCTACGTTACCATACACCCAAGTCCAACCGACAAGTGCTGCTGAATAGGGCCGAGGGATCTTCCGAGGACAGAATGACCTTCGCGGACTGCTCCAGAACTGAGTTTACCTCTTTCAAGGCTTCAGCCAGCCTGTTCGGTCGCTTCTTCATACCTGGGTTCTTCAGTAACCAGGCTCAGTCAGCCGTCTCATGAGCTTTCGATAGGCAACAAAATACCAAAAGCCAAACATGAAAGACAAAAGTCCGGAGAACCCCACAACAATGGACTAAATCCTAAACGAAATGTCTCTGCATATCCTAGGTCCCAATAAGAACCCTAAACCCGACATCCGGTAAATAGTAGGATCCTTGCCCTAAGCCCTTAACCCTTGTCCTAAGTCCTAAGTATGGCGCCAGCAGAGGACTTATGTGAGAACAGCCTTCCGTCCTCTCGCCAACCTCGGCCTGGATGAGCTGAGCCATCTCATGGCCTAACATCAGCTTAGCTCGTATGCAGTGCTTGGCTCGTATGCCTACGGAAGAACTGAAGAGCTGCCTACGGAACAACTCAAAAGCTCGGCTGCCAACAAGCTGCCTGCCTGTGCTTTTGAGAGGCCCACGGAGATGCCGTACTCACTTTCCAGCCAGGAGGCTTTTCTGGGCTCTTGCTAGGGAGCTTATTTCAAGTTACCACAACGAGGACAGTTCGAGCAATTGAGGCTGTTGGGATATACAATCGTAGTTTACTATGACGAGAAAACCTAAACACATGCCCCCTCGTGGTGAGGTCGTTATCGGGAGCGCACGCTTAGGAATTGGGCAGTGACTTGTTTGCCATGGTAATGGTTGGGGAAACCTGCATCAGGCCTGAATGGCGTCGTCTCTCTCCGCTGGCCCTTAATGGGAGTGGTAAACCGTCCCCTTTTGCCATCTTCTCTTCGGTTGTTAGCTGAAGGACTCTGTTCCAGCCACTGGGCATGGTAATCCTTCCACCTTTGCCTTCTTCTGGGCGTGGTAATCCTTCCCCATATGCCTACTTCTGGTCGGTTGTTAGCTGAAGAAAGTCTGTTTTCCAGCCCCCTGGGGGTTGACAATCCTTCCCCATACGCCTTACTCTGGTCGGTTGTTAACTGAATAAAATCGTTTTCCAGCCCTGGGCGTTATAATCCTCCCCGGCGTTCTTAGGGTCGGCTGTTCACTGCAAAATTTGTCAGAAAGGATTTAGTAAAGAGACTTTGTTGAACGCATTCATTGAAGTGAGGTTCAATCAATAGAGATGCCAGAAGTACAAGAAGAAATTCTCAGACACACTACGAGAAATTAAAGTGTCCTTAGGGTTTTGGTTCCTGAACAAGAACCGAGTCATACCGAGTCATACCGAGTCACTCTACTAAGAAGGTCTGGAGGGACGCTGTGCCCGTCTGGTGCGGCCCCACGTGGATGATCAACCTGGCTCGTACAGCTGAATAGTCTTAAAGAAAAGGAAGGCGTGGTGTTTGGGTTGTGTCTGTCTCTTGTCTACGCCACGGCACATTAGAAGGGTTAGGGTTTAGGCTTTGGGGCTTTGAGGACTTAGTTTTTGGGTCAGTGGTTCCGACAGAGGAACTCAATAATATCACTAATCATTGAGGGCTCTACAACAAAGACTCAGAGTTCAGGGTTTCGGTGCAAAGGGTTCAGCGGCCACAAGAGTACGGCTTAGGGTTGAGGGTGTAGGTTTAGGAATGTTTAGGACTACATGCAAGATCTCGGTGTTTCTCAAGGGCCACACGAACCCTGAAAGAGTTTATGGTTCATAGCCCAAAGAAGGGTTTTCTAGTTTAGGATGTGGAGCCGCAAACTTTATCGTGGCCGTTTCCTCCGTAAGGTTCAGGCTACTGGCCGCTGCTGACCATAAACCCCTAAAGGGCAACCTAAACTCCTAAAGGGCAACCTTTTATAAAGCCGAAACAAGCCCCTAAACTTTTTAAAGCCCTAAACACCCCAAACCCTAAAACCCCTAAGCGCACCCTAAACCCTATACCGTTGGCAAAGCTTTGCGCCTGGGTCCCTTGCACTTTTGGGCCACCAGTCTCAGCTCTCCGCTGGCGGAATCTGTCTCCGAGTGCCAGAATACATACCTGAAGGGGGATTCCTTGAAGGCTTCTATAAGGGTTCTACAAGGTATAGAGGCCTGAACAAGGGCCTCTATATTACCCGAAGCCGTAAACTCCCTCAACCCTTAACCCTACCAACCCTAAACCGTAAACTTGCAAGGATACTTCGTGAGCTTTAGGGTGTTGGGGCAGCGGGTTTTCAGGGCTCAGGTTTGAGGATTTCAGGTTTGGGTGAAACCGGGACGCTATTTATAAAGACACGTTTGTCGAACAGCAAGCGTCGGGTATGCCCGAACCCGTTTTTCTCGGGGACATGTAGCGCACCTGCAATGCGGCGGAAGTCGTCTGTGTTTCGGTTAAGCTTCTTCCGACGCTCATTATGATAACTGCTGCTGTTTGCTGCTAGGGTTCAGAACCCTGGTGGGTGTCTATTCCGAAACTGCTGCTCCTCCTGCTCCTCCTGCTCCTCATCCTCCTCATCCTCATCCTCATCCTCCTCATCCTCCGCCTTTCTTCTCGTCCCACCAATCCGCACCATTCCCCACCACCACTGCCAGCAAAAAGGCTACTTCTCACTAGGTGCCTTCTGGTGCAGCGCCTTCTGGTTTAGATTGGAGTCTCAGAATATCAGGGCCGATCAGAAGGGTACCCCCCCAATTTCTGAAACTCGAAGAGCTCAGCCAAGGAGCACGACGAGTGCCACGACCAGTAGGCCGATCACCAAAAGCATCAACGACCATGCACCCATTGGAATCGTTGGAAACTGCAGGGAATCCTTTGAAACACTACTATGCTTGGACCCATGCTTTCTTTCAGAGTTCGGGCCCAAAGCATGAGACGAGCCGGAGAGCAAATTGAGTTGCGTAACTCTTGCCCGGAAAACGGGTGGCACCGGCGAGGGGTAGGATGCGATAGACACATCCAGGGGCTGGGGGCCGCTTCACACGTTTCGAAGGCCAGGATGTCAGACTTTCGGGTTTCTAAGAACCACGGGATCAGCAAGCAGGCTAGCAATCGAGGTATATCCAGGCTTTGGGGTTCAGGGGTGCGGGGCTGAATAATTGAATAAGGTTTAGCGTTAAAGCGAATGCAGCCTACTGCAGCCCACCGGTAGCGAAAGCCAGCTACAGGCACACACTAATTACACAGGCACAAACTTTTTCTCCATGATCCATAGACAGCGATCAACTGGCAATGTCCAACACGATCTCGCTGCAAGAGCTGCGCTGGTGACACCTGCCGGGACCTTCCTGAGCACAATTAAGTTTGGGGGGGGGAAACCTCTGTCCCGGCAGCTTCGCTACCGTTCCTGCCACAGCAACTGAAGTGGCATCTTTTGCTTTGGCATCCTTCACCCTCGCTGGGCGTTGATGCGCGAACCACCGAACCACCTCCTACCAGAGAAAACTGGTGCATCAACTTCGCTGGCGTGCCGGCACCTCGTGCGACACAGCATTGCATTGGGCGGCACCCTGATGGGAAGCCCGGTGAGCTTCCCAAAATGCGGACTCCGTCCGCTACTGCAAAAAACTGATGCTTTAGCGCTAACACTTCCATGGAGGCCTTCTGGATTCCCAGCGTGGCCTCTGGATTCTAAGGCTTCTAAGAAGGCGAGGTCGCCATCATCTCGGACGCGCCAGAAACCACACGTCGAGGATCTCACGGAGCACCATGTTCGGCCCCGGGCCCTTGACAGCTGTGTGTAGATGCGCTCATGTCCATCATGTTCTTAAGTGATGAAACGGCACTCCAAACAGGGACATTGCGTGCCCGAGGTCTCGGGGGCTTGCAAAGAACCCTTCGAGGAGGCTTGTGGAAAAAACGCACAGTCACACGCCGGAATCAGCATCTGCTCCCGTCTGCCGGTCTGCACATGTACTTCCATGTTCCACCTCGCCGAATTTCAATGAGGCGCCTTCTGAAAGAGCGCGGGAAGACCGGGTCGTCTCCGACATTTTGACTTCAGACTGGTCTGTCATACCACAGATGCCAAGAGCCCTATCGGCCCTGTCCGCCCTAGCCAACTACTACCAGAGAAGCCTCACCGGCCTCACACGGCCTCACCACTTCGAGCCTTGACTCCAGGAAGTGCGGAGCAGGAGAAGGCAGGAGAAGGGGCTGAGAGCAACAGCGTGTCAGAGCCTAGAAATGTGGAACTGGTCCCATTCAGACTCAGCCACTCAGCTTCCATGAAGCTGAAACCCGGGATGGGGCAGGGCCTTTGTGCCTTTTTGCCTGGCAACCCTCACATTCCGAGAAGTTGAATCATTCGCCAAAGGCTGCTGAGCCTGCTCCAGGAGAGAAGGCTTGTATGTCGCGAGCCGGAGAAAAAACCTTTGGCACTGCCCGAAGCGCTGTCTATATTATGGCTTGAGCACAACTTCTCGGGTGCTTGGAGGCAAAAGATCAAGGCCGAGCTGCTTCAGGCCTCAGCCAAGAGTGCGGTGGAGCGGCGGAGGCCAGCGTGCAGCGGCGCAGCAGCGCAGCAGTCAAGAGGACTACATGACTGCATCAACAGGCAGAGGCCTTCGGAGCAAAGCTTCCATAGTCCCCCCACTCACCTTCCCATTCGCCTGGAGAGTCTCGTGCAGGATCGAGCGGCTATGACAGATAATGACAGTTCACATGCACAGCTCTGGAAGGGTGAGGTAGCCCATTGCTGTCGTGCATCGCCTTATGCATACAGAGACCGGTGGAGGGCTCCGGCAAGCCCGGCAAGCCCAGGCTGCAAGCGACGCGGCAAGTCTGGGGGGGCTTCTGTGGAGAGAGTGTTCTTGTTCTGGGTCCTTTCCGTGGGACAATAGTGACTATATCCTCGAAGGGGCATAAGATGACTGCCCAGACTGCCCATGCCTAGAGATCGACGAAGGAAGAAAGAAAGCGGAGATAGCGACCTAATTCTTGATGGGCGAAGGTGTTATCCGGGGTTCATCAGGATCCTCATACCTTGGGGTCCCTGTTGGAGACTCTCAGAGGGCTCTGTCTTCCAGGATCCGTGACCATACTTATGGCGCTTCCAGGCTGCTGGACTGCATGCAGCAAAGGAGAATTGCATATGGCTTACAGTACGGCTGACAGTGTGCAGGTTTCGGTTTGAAGGTGATTTCACTCAGCTTTCTCGCGCGCCTGGCACACCTGCGGACCTGCATATTGACGGCATGCGTGCGACACCGTCGTACAGACTCCTAGGCACACGGGGATCTGGATTCTCACACCAGTCGAGCTTCTCACACAATTCATGCGCAGCAACGGATGGTCCCCTTTGGATCGGTCACCGCTCTTCGAGGCTCGACACCTGCCCGTGGTCAGACAAAACCACACAGCCGCGCGGTATACTGGGACCCTTCGGCTCGATGTACGCTGTACATCACATGCTGCATGGGCTGGTAGACTTCGAAGGTTGTCGCACAAAATCGGCAAGAGAGTGTCATAGAGCGTCCTTCTGAGACAAGCAGCACTCTGGAACTCCACATCGCAAAGACATGGAGCGTAAGCTTCCTCGAATATCCCTATGCTGCTATGCTGGCATGCAGGGGTCCAATGACGTTGCAAATGTTGCAATTCATCAGAAGCTTTGACTGTTCGAGCTCTAGGTCCCCACACCACCAGCCGCGCGTTTCCCACCCAGAGCATGCGTAGCAAGGGATGATCCCCTCCTGTCCGACAGCTCAGCATCTGTGACGCCTCTTCAATGCTCACCTCTCACTGAGCAGCATGCTACTTGCCAACCGCACCACTGTGCCTGAGTCGAAGGCCGCTGCCGCAACAGCGCAACGAGCAGCAGAACCGGAGATCCAGCGAACGTTTATCCCAAAGCCACAATGTGGCGAGCAGGAAGGCAATCACTGCCGGTGGGTCGCCGGTGATCCCACGCACCCGGAAGGCAGTTTCGCGAAGTGATGTCATCTCAAGTCCGCGGCTGCACTCTTCCCTATCGGCCTCTGGAACCGGCACGGGTTGCGTGAAATGACAGAAGGACAGGGAAAACCAGTCCATGTCGCTGAAGCTGCGGCTTGTCTGAAGAATCTGTCGCCCCTACCTGAAACGACGAGAAGAGGTAACGGCAGCTTTTAAGATGTTTAATGATGGATATGGGTTCCCCCCAAATCTACTCGTGCCTGTACCCCTGGGGAGTTCTCACCCTACTTCTGGAGCGTTGCAAGGACAAACCAACACAAGGGGGACAGTAGGAGCACAGAAGTGGGCCCCCCGAGTGGACAAGAAAGCCAGCGCCTAGTTCTGAGGGTAAGATGTTTAATCGGCTTTGAAGGCTTTGAACACTAAAAAAAGGAAAGGACATGGAGAGAGGACTAAGGAGCCTGGAAGGCGAGAAGCGGGACATGGAGAGGCCTCTACAGCCCGCAAACTCCGAGAAAAGCTTCGAAAGGAGCATGCCCCGGATGCTTCTAACGAGGGGGCCCCGTTGTAGCTTCTCCTGTAGGGCTCGAGGTTTCGGGCTCCCTTCGGGACTCCAGAGCACAAGCAGGCTTCGCGGAGTTGGCCGGAAATTTGCAGGGTACCCGGGAATGCGCCTGCGGACAGTGCTCACGTGTTGGGAAGCATGCCTAGCACGTGAAATCTGCATAGGTTTCGGCCCGCCAGCTTTAAACTGAACTGCGGGCCAGTCGTACCGTCGTACCGTCGTACCGGGGCAGCTTGGCAGCTTGGGCTCTTGGAGACCGGAACACTGCCCTGCGCTGCTCACGGACATCGGCTGACATCGGCTCGCAAAAGCTAGCCTGTGCTGCTGGAACCCGCAGCCTTTTGCCCGTGGGCAGTTGTAGGTTTTAGGGGTCCAAGACACCACTTAAACATAAGGATCCTACAAACCATGGTTTCGCTTTGTCCTGGGCCTTTGAAGCAGAATCAGAATGTAGGATCCTCAATTTTGTGTGGTTTTCTGGGGCGCTTCGCTTGAGATACATAGCTGCTCGCTTCGTCAGGCGCGGCACGGGCAAGGTAGGTTTAGAGCTCTTGACAAGTTTGGTTTCAGGTTTTTTGTAAGGTGTGACCGGAACACCGCGGCCCTGCTCTGCTCACGGCCAGAAGTCGGCGGCAAAAGCTAGCCCTCTCTGCGAAAGCTTTCCAAAATGTGCAGCTGCAACCGCCTTTGGGGAATCAGAATACAGGATCCTCAATGTTGACCTTCTGGGGCGCTTCGCTTGAGACACATAGCTGCTGGCGCGGCTCGGGCAAGGGCTTCGGGGTTTCTTGCAAAGTGGTCTCACACGTGATGCGGTTGTCACGCAAAGGTTGCAGCTCCTTGCTGCGAGTGTCTGGCCCGGAGATGTTGTTCGGCGGGGCGGTGAAAGGACCCTGTAGATCACACCTTGCAGAACTTTCTGTTTAGGGCTTAGGCTTTCAGGTGTGGGCCTTAGGCCAGCGATTGATTGTGGTGGAGTCCGGTGTGGGCCTTTAGGGCTTATGGCTTGGGTGAGGACAGAAGACAGCTGGGCTTCCATCGAGCACTACCTCTCTAGTGCGTCACTGAAGAAAGCCATTCCATCTCGGTCTGCAAGTCTAGGACGGCGTACGCCG